ATCATGTAAAATCTGCTCATTTTGTTCATCATATAAACTGGATTCAAAAATAGAATCCTGTACACTAGATGAATCAAGATTAAGATCAATAAGATCATTGACCAATGTATGATCATGCTCAAGGTACTCATAAAAATTGATTGCGTCCATGATAAGAACTAGTTATACAAAAAATGTGTACAGTATATTACATTGAGCGGTAAAAAAAGGGTATGCTGAGATTTTAAATTCGGGGTCACATGTGCCAAGAGCCCCACTTTCAGGGTAAGCTGGGCTCAAGGGTCGGGTCAGCTGAACTGTAATCTGCCCAACTTGTATACCTGTATACCTTCTGCAGGTCACGTGAGGTATGTCGTACTTCCTTAATGCTCAGGTCATGATCCCTGCTTAACTCACTGATCATCCCATTGAGCATACCCAATGATTCTGCCTTAACTCCCCGCATCGTCACGTGAGGCTGACAGGATAAGGTCTGTAACAGCGAGGCTCAGTGACTGTCCATGCTCAGTGAATGTCTATGCTCCGTGACAACTGGTTTCGCTCTCGTAGTCGAGATAAGAAACGATCAAGTAAACTACTTCATTAGGGATATTCGAAAAGTTCATCGTAGTTGCAAAGAATTGTGTGAATTTCAGCGAACTTTCGATTATTATGGCCGGAGTTGGTTTGGCCCGATGGCACAGATATATCCTTAGTCGGGGCTCAAAAACGGTCCCCGCTTCTACGAACTTTCCATTATAAAGACGCCATAGGTGTGTGTATCAATTTTAATTACGGCTAAACTATATGACAATTACTTCCAGCAAAGAATCTCCGCATGCAGTACCGCGAACCAACCATCCTCGTCCTCGGTAAATGTCCTCCAGCCTTGCGCCATTTGATTCAACTCTTCCTGCGTCGCCAATCCCTCCTCCACTGCTGTCTTTGAAAGACCCGAAGACTTCGCCCGTCCCTCCATGGATCCTCCCCAGTACGCTCTCTCCGCAGGGCTACTAAAGCACCACGACCCTGCGCTTTTCCGAATCTTCTCTCGATCGAATCCCGCTTCTCGCGCCCAGGCATGAATGTACCGGCCGGAACAGGCACTACAGCCCTTTGCCATGGACATTTTGTCGGTCAGATTCCACCACGATTCGATCCCTGCGTTTTCCGGATACCATGTGTATTGCGCCGATTCGCGCGCGGCAACAATACCACCGTCTGTTTTGGCAACACGGCGCATCTCACGGAGTGATTTGACTGGATCCGCGATGTGCTGTAGAACTTGGTGTACATGCACAATGTCAAAGCTGTTGTCAGGAAAGTCAAGCGAATGGATATCACCGACCCGGAAGTCGACATTCGTGACTCCCTCGCTTGCCGCGAGACTTTGTGCTTGGTCCAGCGGATCAGATATGTACTCGATACCAGTAACATGTCCCTGGGGTACGCGACGCGCTAGGTCCACGCTGATTGAACCGGGTCCGCAGCCGATGTCGAGGATGGCCATGTTGGGTTTGATATGCGGCAGGAGGTGTGGTGCTGAATTGGTGACGGTGCGCCAATTGTGTGTCTGAAGGACCGAAGACGAGTGGTCTGTCGTATAGGCTGCCATTGCGATGAAATTTATTTAGGATTGATGATAGGTCTTTGTTGATCTTGGATGTTGATTGAAAAGTTGGCATTTAAATAATAGCGATGCCGTACTTGCCGATATCCATTTCGGAATTCCGAATACATCCAAGCAAATTATTGGCCACTGCTCCTTGGCTGCGTCATTGTACTCGGGATTCCGAGCAGCATACTTGGAGATCAACATCCGTGGATATGAGCACAAACGGCGAATATCATCATCCCGAATTCGTCTACTGTCTGTACCCAGCGCTCTATCCTCTTTCGCCGCTGGGGAGAAGATGTCTCTACTGATCTCCACAACTCCGAAATCTCCAGCATTCCATCCTCCCAATCAAGCAAGTGACGGTCATACTCTTTGGTCCATGCTTCACGATCAATGGCATCCCATAATGATCTGCTTTCCGGTGCATAGACCTCTCGTAGCTCTTCAGCAACGAAATTTGGTAGATAATGATCAGCATTATACACACTGCTGAAGAGGTACATAACCAGAATAGCTCGACGTTTTGTAGACGCCATGATCCAGGATTCCCAATTCGGTCGTGATCGAGAGAGTTCAGCGGTGCAGAAGAGACCATTCCGTGCAGTACGGAATGCCAATTCCATGAGAGTCATCATAACCTGGTCATTCACGACGGAGGGACCACCGATGGGAGTGAAGTACATCATAATCGAGTAGATCAGATATGCCTGGAATGTCGCGAGATGTTCGTAGTCATGATGACTCGGGGGCTATACTGATCAGGACTTATCTTGCAAAACACAGGGAAGGTCATACCTCTTCAGCCAACCGTCGCATCTCGTTTTCTACTATACTGACCGCCATTGCCTCGCTCCCTGGCACCGCCTGCTCCCACATCCGCACCAAGCTATAGCAGTTTGCGAGTGCACGTGGCATTTCCTTTCCTGCTATCTGCACGCTGTGGATGATAGGCGGAAGACCACCATCTTTGAGCATACGACGAGGATAAGTACATAATATCCGTGCGATGTACTGCAGAGTGAATGGATGATATGCCTTGGGGATCTCTTCACCTTCTGTAAGAGGTAGGATGTAAGGCCTCAGCCAGCGGTCCCGAATATCCCCGGCATTAGCACTAGGTGCCAAGTAGACTACTCGCAGGTCAAGCTCAGTCTTAGTCTCTTTGTGCTGCTCCGGTCTTGTTTGTGGCTGGTTCTGAGCGCTCGTGATTGCACTGAAAGGAAAATGGACTGGCGCGTCTGTCGCCCGATCCAGTCGCGGAATTCCGAGTATTGAGGTATCGTCATAGTTTGTTTCCAGTGCAGGGGCTTCTATTGAAGAGGACACACTCTCGACAGGAAGACTCACTCCCACGTTGACAAGATACTCGCAGTTCTGACCTCGTGAACGACATCGTGAACAGGCCGGTCTCTCGAAATCGCAGCGGACTTTGGATCTCGTGCAGTTACTGCAGGCCTTCTTACGGGGCGGAGCGCGTTGCCTCTTTCTGGAAGGGCTTGTTCTGGCCTCCATTTTGAACTGATTGACAATGTCGGAGGTTCGGGGACGGCGTTGGCGTGTTCGGAGTCCCGAGGAGTGACATCACGTGGCTCCCATGTCTACAGTGATGGTCGTGCAAAATACAGAATCATCATTCATAATTGACTCAGCGAAGACTATAACTTATAGCTAACTTGCCCATATCGATCCTTGTACGCTACCCTCTGTCCGATGTTGCCTTTCTCCGCTCAACCCGCTTCATCCGAGATCCTTCGGTCTAAGCAGGAATTTTTCTCTTCTCCGCTGGATGGGATGACAGCCAAAAGGGACATACAACAACAGTATTGGGCGTCAATGGAAGCCTCGTTGCCGTATGCAAGGTGCGTGAACGCCATATCTCGATGCTTGCGCTCCGTGACCCAGTGCTGAAGAGCATCATTGGGTACTCACCTCGTTAAACCTCCATACCGTCGCTCACTTGTGAATCAGTTGTGTGGTATGGCTGAACACACTTTCCAACCAATGCCGCTGCTTCGTCGTAGAAACTATTCTTTGTAAACGGCAATTTGTTACCCCTGGCAAACTCGCGAAGCTCGTCCAAGCCAGAAACCCGCCGCGCCATCAACAGCCATTTCCAGTGTTGGTCCAAGATCCTTGATGCGATCACCAGGAGCCACCGGTCCCATTGCATCTTCCCTAATCTTCTGGGCTTCCCCACTCTCCAGGTATTTCATCAAGGGTTTGGGTACGTAGCCGTAGTAACCATCCCCGTAGCCACCGCCGTCCTTGATGCCCAGGTCTTGATTTTCGATGCCATACTCTCCCTCCTTTTCCAGGATTGGGAGGATCGTGACCTCCATCCCAGCATCTCCAGGGGCGCAAGGTTCTCCAGTACGCTTCTAAGACTGATTGTGCGAGAGCACATCCATAAGACGCTGGGGAATCCAATCTTCCTTGGATTTCCTGGGTTTGGAACGAAGGCCCTCAAACGCGGACGCCCATCGCTTTGACAGTCGTTCTTTGAACTCGGGCTTGTCCAGAACGGATTCATCACCCTCGAGAAGATCCGGCAGCAGTCGATGCACGTGCTGGTCGAGTTTCCTTCACAACTTTCTCCTTTCCTTCAAAACTTTGTCCAGTTTGATTCGGTCTCCTTGCGGCCCGGGGAGTAACGAGAGTTGAGGCTGTACAGCCGGGAGGCAAGCCAGTCGACGCAGGCATCAAGTTTGCAGTTCTGTCAATTTTGTCAGTCCGTGACTAAGGCTGTACAGGGTCAGGGCCCTCGACATACCTGGATCAGGGTTTTCCCCAGGCTGCTCTCCACCTCCTCGACAGTCAGGCGATAGTTACGGGCCTTTTCGGGTCTGACCTGCTGCTTTAGCCGTACCCGTAGCTGTCGTCGTAGCCTGACATGTCCTCGTCTCTGTCCGACCTCGCGAGAGGAGAAGAGGAAAAGTCACGGTAGCTTGTTCGAGGGCGTGAAAGGGGAACCGATATGCCTACGGGACGATGGAGATGAGAAGGATGCGGAAGATGACGGTGAGGATGGTGAATATGGCGATGGGCAGATGAAAAGAAGGACGGTTTGGTGTGGGCGATAGACGTGGTTAAATGACGGCAGGAAGGGCCCCAGTCACCTGACAACAACACCCGCCCAAAAAGGAAACGCGGCATCGTGAACACAAACACTCTGAATGCGCCAATAAGCGCCGCTAATGCCTGGAAATCTTTATTTGCGCTGAATTCACTGCGGCGGCTCAGGGTGACGGCGGAAGTATGGTCTTACCAGTGTGAAGCTGGAATAAATACTTATCAGCAAAGCAGGCAGCATCTGGATGTCGTTGATTACGGCATAATGTACAGAAATTTTCTTCGGTCGGAGGACCAAACAAGACACGCAACAGGGTATAATACGGTAAATGAAATCATAACGATGCGCTGGTCATTGTTCCGACTGGATAGCGCGAGGCATAGGAAGCGTAGGAGCTGGCCCAGCATCCAATTCATACACCGGTTGAGATGGTTCCGTGTGCAGCTCCGACACTTGATGCTCTCCTTCAGCTGGTAGTTCGACTGTATCATCGGGTGGCATCTCACGAGACAGCGTTGGGGTATCGAGCTTCGGATGGAAGACGTGCAGCGCCAGTATGTCCATCAGCGGTTTCACTTCCGGCGGCGGTGCAACGGCACCCGTCAGTACCTGCGATGCTTTGACCTTTCGCTTGTAGAATTTCTGGTTGGCGTGTCTTCGCTCGATCAGGATGGCCCCCTCAAGAGACATCCCTCCATATACCCCCTTGGATTTCGAGTATGCGAACGTCGCTGCAGCACCCTTCGCACTAGCTCCTCCACCCACCTCGACACTTCTCCCAACTGGCCCGAGTGCCGTCGAGAGGTTGGCACTCAGTAACGCACTTCCACACTGCGAGAATGTCCGGACGGCGTGGGGATCGTTGAGGACGAAAACGAAATCGGTCATCTCGACGCCAACCAGGCCCCCGAATCCAGCTCCAAGAATTGTAATCGCAGATGGAGGCGACCAGCTGCCATCGTCGAGACGCGCGAGCATAATCCCCGATCCGAATCGAGCTGCGCCCATAAAGCCGATGCGGAAGACGGTGAAGATAACTAAGCCCTGCGGAAGCATTAATTCAGCCAGTCTCAATCAGTTCGCCGCAGATATTCTGTACCTTTGCCTTCTCCAGGACATGAGGGGGAAGCGATAACCCCGGACTATCAATGGATGATGGTTGAATAAAGGACTCGAGGATCCGCATACATTTTTTGCTCTCGCCTGGTAATGTTATTATCAGCAATTTTTTTTTTTTTTTTTTTTTTTTTTTTTTTTTTTGCAGTGGATATGGAGACGCACAGCGCAAAGATGCGGGGAATGGATTGTGAATCCTTTCCATGGTCAAAATTTGTCAACGTGGATAGTCGAGATACCAACTGTGAATGACTCCTGCAGAAAAGGTTGGCCATGCTAGCCTTATCTAGACTGGATGAAGAGGGGGGTTCTGGGGGGACAGCCTCGTCTCCCCGGTATCCTACTACATAGCCGCTACAGACGGACGCATTGATGCTGATCGTCTCGTCCCGCGAATCAGAGGAACCATTGGTGGCCGCGTTCACGTATTGCGGCACAGTGAGGCGCATTCGAATAATACGAGTTCATTCTTAAGATCTAAATTATACGAGCTTCAGTTGTCAACAACCGTTATCGTCGCGTGTCTTGAAAGAGATTGAAAAGCACTCTGTACAGTCAATGTTCAGATCTAAAAATATGCAAAACATAAATATAGTATAAGTACAAATGGCAGCTCAAGTATGGCACAGTTCATGACGGACATGGTATGCATCAGGGGTATATATATATGGAAGACGCAATCCTCCAACAACAAAACAGACTCTCGCCGACCGAATGATTAAAATATGATCATAAAGGGATATGCAAGAGAAGAAGAAGAAGAAGAAGAAGAAGAAGAAGAAGAGGAAGAAGAGGAAGAAGAGGAAGAAGAGGAAGAAGAGGAAGAAGAGGAAGAAGAGGAAGAAGAGGAAGAAGAGGAATTGTAAAAAGCCGCCCGCGACTTTTAGTCTCTGCACAGCACAGATGATCCCGGTTTGCGAGCGTAGACGACCGTTCCGGGGAGGTAGGCACGGGTCTTGTAGTCTCGTAACGCTGCTCGCATCTGGGCCAGATGTATTTGCGCGCGATCGTACGGCCAGCCGAGGGTCGAGGTCAGCAGTCGCAGCATGAAACCTTCCACGCCGTTGTGTAGTCGGAACTGATTCCATCGACCCAGTTCGTGCATTTTGGGATCCGAACTCCAGCTGCACCGTCAGTTAGTGATGAACTCGTGATTACACCCGGGAGACAAAGGGACATACCCATTCATAGGCCACTTGTAATCGACTTCCACCACATCCACAAAGCCTGCGCGCTTGAGACGCTCTGCGCTCTCGCTCCAGATGGTAAAGGTCTTCCCAAACTGGACCCCGGACTGCACGACCGTCTCGCCCCAGAGTCGGTAGAAATGGTCTGGTCCCACGCTGCCATCGTCTGAGGTCGGCTCAACCGAATGTTCCACCACTTCAACGTAGCCTCCAGGCCGCAGAGACATATAGCATTGGCGGAAAAACTCATCCCAGTCGGGAATGCAGCCAAACATCTCCCGAACATGGATAAAGTCGAATTGGTTGGGAGAGTAGGTCCAAGGCAGGGTCATATCATCGATCTCGAAAACGCAATTCGGAGGGACGAAGGAGGGTTGAATCGGGGAGAGGTCGACTCCGGTGACCTTGGCGCTGGGATATTCATCGGCCATATCTCTGCAATCGAAAAGGATCGGATCGTCAGTCCAAGATTCCGATCGGTAGGATCTCCGTTGATAACTCACATGGCCCAGATTCCGGTCCCGGTGCCGACATCGAGGATCTCTTGGGGGTTCTTCAAGGGTGCGAGATGGAGTTTTCCATCGAGGGTCAGGTAATACATGTGATGCGCGACATCTTGTTGTTCGTTGGCGGTTTCATCGTTGGGGCCCTGTACTGTCAGTACCTCTTCCCTATTGGTATTCGAATCAACATACCCAGTACGCGCCATCGCGGTAGGAATGGTAACGTCGGCCGAACTCGAAGCGATAGTCGGTGATATAACAGGACATGGTCTTGGTATCGTCCCCGATAAAGGAATCGTCGCCATAGGCGGAGTCTAAATCGTCGTCCCGATAGTCCACATCTTCCAGCCCTTCATCGTCATCTTCTTCGCCATTGGTGGGATAGAAAGAATCTCTTGTGGTCGGAGCATTAGCATTACTGCTGTCCCGGATCGGAGTGGAGGAGTTGGAGTGCCTAGGGGGAGGAGCAGCCATCATGACAAAGATCTGCACTCCGGGGGGGAGGGGGAACCACGAGGAGGTTTGAATATAAGAAGAACAATAGAATGAAAGAACAATTGGAAATGAATCAATAAACGAAAGCGAGGCGAGTTGGGAGACTTTGAAAAGCGCCGGTCACCTGACTCTCCTCCACCGGTGGCACAAACTTTGACGAACAAACAAACGTTTTTCACGGCTGAATAAGAATAAGAATAATCGGGGAGAAGAAGAAAAAGTGAACACGAGATGCACGAGATCAGTGGGAAAAGCAATATCAATAGGGATCAGCTACTATTTCGTATCGCGTATCAATATGTCGGAGACCCGAACAGTGTTCATATACGGAGTGTACCGGTTCACAAACCCCCGGGCATCTCCTGTCGAGAGTTAAAGAAGAACCCTCTCAGCCACGGTTGAACGGTCGAACCTTCTGCTCCCCTTCCACGATTCATCGTCTTCCATTCCAGCCGATCCTGGCCGCCGGTGCAGGGATGTAGACCCGCTGTCTGCCAAATGCACCATACACGGCTTCGATGGCTGAAGAGCCCGCAGACAAGGCCCCAATGGCCACAGGTCGAGGTGGACATCGCATCTCCACTTTGCCATGGTGTGAATTAATGCGCAACAAGACATGATTGCATAATGGCCATCCCGGCTGAAGGGATTATATGTAGTTATTGTCTGAAAATCATGCAATATGCCGTCAATACTCACTTTTATGTCCGGCTCTTGGGACTCCTACTTGTTACCGGACTGAGACGGACTGATAGACAGACTGATAGACAGACTGATATTAAGCATGCTCGGACTCTCTTTCCTCAATCCCGCTCCATCGGCCGTGACTGATTCACTTGAAACCCATGTGAGCATTCACTGACATGTATTCTGTCGGCCTCACTCACACTCAGTCTCGCCATGGCGTCCTCTCCCTCTCCCTGTTCCCCTCTCCCTCGCTCTTCTCATCGTCGTCAACGCTCCATGAACGTTTTCAGGAATCTCTGGGCAGCTGTCATGGGCAAATCTAATCCTGCAGACCCTAGTCCCGCCACGGTGCTGATTGTCGGCGCTGGTATGCGACCGTGAAACTGATATACAAAAATTTGATACTGACCGTTTCCAGGCTCGACGGGTCTAGCGCTGGCTCAAGGATTGAGAAAGGTATGCTACTTTATATTTATTTATATTTATTTATATTTATTTATGTTTATATGTTTATATGTTTATATTTATTTATTATCCGTTGCTTATTATCTGCCGTGCAACATCCACTAATGTACCTGATTCCAGTCCGGGATCCCCTGCGTTGTCGTCGAGAAATATGATTGCTTGGATGCTCGTTCACGCGACTGGAATATGGGTCTGCATTGGGGTGTATCCTCCCTGAAATCCCTCGTGCCCGACCATCTGTGGGATCGCATTCAATCCGTCCAGGTCGACCCCCATGCGCCTACCGCCGACCACGATTCGCTCAACTTCTACAATGCCCAGTCGGGTGATATGATGGCCTCGATCCCCGTCCAGTATTTCTATCGTCTTCGTCGTCGCAAACTCCGCGGTCTGCTCGCAGAAGGTCTAGACATTCGCTACGGGAAAGAGCTGCGCTTGATCGAATACTCCAAGGATGGGAAGTTTGCCACGACATGGTTCGAAGATGGCACATCGATCACATCGCATCTGGTCGTTGGGACTGATGGCGCTCATTCGACCCTGCGACAGACGCTACTTGGTCCCGGCAATGGCAGTACCCAACGTCTTCCGTACTGTGCAACCTTTGTCCAAGCACGATACAGCGCTGACCGGGCTCGATACTTGCGCAAAGTTCATCCACTATACCTAGCGGGCATCAATCCGGCTGGATATTTCTCTTTCTTCGGTATGCACGACATCCAAGATCCGAACGACCCCTCGACATGGACCTTTTTCTTCTACGTCTCATGGCATTCCCCGTTGGAGGAGCAGGAGCGGACGGCCAATTGGACCAACGCACAGCGGTTGCAGCAAGTGAAGGAGCTGTCCCAGACTTTCACTGACCCGTGGAAAAGTGCGTTCGACTGGTTACCGGATGACCACCAGGTCTGGTACATGGGCTTGTCGGATTTCGATCCAGGCGCAAAGGATCACCACTGGGACAACCATGGTGGCCGCGTAACTATGGCTGGTGATGCGGCCCATGCCATGACCTACCAGCGCGGCCAGGGCCTGAACCATTCCATAACGGACGCTGCGAAGCTGGCAGAGGCCGTAAAGCAATTTGCTTCCGGCAAAGCAGCCCAGGCAGATGCCATCTCATCCTACGAGGAGGAGATGATCGCTCGTGCTGGCGGAGAAGTCCGTACCTCGACTGTCAACACGGCGATGTTGCACAATTGGGAAAAGGTCCAGCAGTCGCCGGTCATGCAATCGGGCATGACACCGCAGCAGCAGCAGCAACCTCAACCACAGCAGGCAATACGAGCTCAGTAAACGTGCCTGCCATTTCTTTCTATTTCCCGTATCTTTTAATGGTTCGACGTATTTCTTTTCCTCGACTCGAATACCCATTCATCGGTATGGAGTTTGCATGGTTTCAGCGGTATCATATTAATATCTTAATGTATTCAGATTGTCTATATTTGCGGGAGATACCTCTCAATCGAATGATATTGTCTATATGGTACGACGGTATTATTCACATACTACATCATCTCAAGACATCGTCTTGTTTCATCAAACTCTCTGATTGACTAGCTCTGGAACTACTGACCCCTAAGTTCTTCACATAATTCCCTTTCTCCGTCGGAAATATTACTATTCAATTCCCGTGATTGGATCTGGCAGTTGTGAGCCTCATGTGAAAGTGGGCCTCACGGTCTGTCATGTGAAGGCAGACCATGTGCTCTGAGTGCCGTGACTCTCGAAGCACCTAGATCTTATCATCGATAACCCGGCAGGTCAGTCAATGTCCTCTCAACATCCTCCATCTGTCCATAGCCACAAGGCAGCCAATATCGTCGACGCAATAGACCCTGAATCTCCCAGCCAAGCCCGAAGATTTGCCGGGCCCCAGAAACAGCCCGTCTGAAGAAGGATTGGTCCAATCATCATGGCCAGGATGAAATCCGATGCAGCGGAGAGATGATTTGGCACCTTATCCCCGCACCCTCGATGTGTAGGCGAGAGGCGACGTGGGGAGTGTTTGCGGGGTTGGATATATATTTGTCGTAGTCCGCGGGAAACAGACGCACATTGGAGCACCAGACACCATGGCTACAACCTCTGTGATGCAGTTGGAACTGGATATTAGACCATCTGGGGCGCAGCCCAACCCAGAACAGGCTTTGGAAACGGAAATTCCAGTCAATGGTGATGATGATCCTCCGGCGACCGCCATCAGTGCTCTGGAGAGATGGAACTATCCCCGACACAACATCGCCCGTCTCGTAGCCACCTTCTGGAGTTTTATTGTGTCGGGAGCAAATGATGCTGCTTATGGTGTATGTCTTTCCTGCCAATATATGGCACGAAACCACGCTGACCGATGTAGGCTTTGATTCCCTATGTAGGACCCATCCTTCGGAATATGATACAGGAGAGGAACCAATAACTGACTATCATAGCTGGAATCCTATTATGACCTCAGTTACACCATCGTCTCTCTGGTGTTTCTGTCCCCCTTGGGTGGATACGTGCTCGCCGCATTGTTTAACCATCGCATCCACAACGCCTTTGGCCAGAGGGGAGTCGCACTGCTGGCTCCAGGATGCCACTTGATCGCGTATATCGTCAACTCTCTCCATCCACCCTATCCGGTTCTGGTAGTCTCCTTCATCTTTGCAGGATTCGGAAATGGACTCACGGACTCGGCTTGGAATGCGTGGGTTGGCAATATGGCCAGGGCAGATGAGATTCTGGGTCTCTTGCACGGGTTCTATGGTGTCGGTGCCGTTCTAAGCCCATTAGCTGCTACATCGCTCATCACAAAGGCCAATTGTCCGTGGTATTATTTCTACTATATCATGGTATGTCATGTCAGTACAATCTCGCTTGAAGTGTCCAATTCTAACCGATTCAGATTGCATGTGCGGCCGTCGAAGTAGTACTCTGCACGTCTACCTTTTGGAAATCCACAGGCGCCGTATTTCGTCAAACCACCGCGCGATCACAAGATGGGAATGATAAGGGCGGCCTGCGACAAGCATTGTTCACGTATCCATCGTCACGTGTGACCTGGCTCTGTGCCTTGTTCCTCCTGGGATATGTTGGTGTCGAGGTCGCGCTGGGAGGATGGATCGTGACTTTTATGACCCAGGTGCGACACGGTCCCGCATTTGCCAGTGGGATGACTGCCACTGGATTCTGGCTCGGGATTACAGTCGGCAGAGTGGCATTGGGCTTTGTGACGCCTCGTGTGGGGGAGAAAATCTCCGTTTCGGTATGATACATCCACTCCAGAGTGTGTTCGGTGGCTGACTCTCCAGACCTACATTATTTTGTCAATCATATTTGGCCTCGTCCTCTGGCTAGTCCCTCAATTCTATGCGTCAGCCGTGGCTGTCGCCCTTCAAGGTTTCTTCCTGGGCCCGCTATTCCCAGCCGTCGTGGTGGTGACGACAAAACTCTTGCCACGGCATTTGCATGTGAGCTCGATCGGATTTGCTGCCGCCTTTGGTGGGGGAGGCGCGGCCGTGCTTCCGTTTGCTGTGGGGGCTATTGCCCAGTCGAAGGGGGTGAAAGTGCTCCAGCCGTTTATTCTGGGGTTGTCCGGGGGGATCCTGATATTATGGCTGGGGTTGCCGCGGTTGAGCAAGATCCACCGGGGGGAGTAGTAGTATCCATTGATATCCATTCCTAGTATATCCATCTCTACATCGATCCCAACTCCCATTTCCTTCGCATTTAGAATTACAGTAGGCATAACATTGTACCTACGGAGTATGTACAAGTAAAAGATGCATCATATGCAGATCTTGATTATCAGATAACACACAGCCTCGGATCAGCTGCTGCTTGGTGGCCGATTTCGGTCGGCGGCTGGCCATGACTCGGGACCGGCGATCTCCGAGTGCACACTGCTAAGTGTAGAATTCTACAGCAGTCTGGCTGTATCATGAGCCTCCTGGCCAATCCCCCCTCCCCCCGGCCTACTTTTCCCGAGCTTGCGGACAAGGTATTCTACGCGCGGATATGGCGAATGCTCCCGAGCCGAGGCAATTACCGCATTGGGATATCCGCTCATCCTCGGCCGAGTGTCATCAACGTCAAAGAGTTGCAATTCATCTGCTCGTGTTTCTGCTCTACTTTTATCGTCCCCATCCTCCAGTTTTTATCCCCAGATTCTCTCTCTACGCACTATCCTAATATCTCTCATATCTGTATTACCAACTATACTCCCAATCGCCACCGTCATCATGCCAAACCCTCCCCCGGCCTGGGTCCAGGCCTTGAAGCCCGCCGGTCCGCAAGGCTCGGAATTGCTCACACAAGAACGCGCTCAGTCGAACGTCGCAGTGGAGAGACTTGCAGAATTGCTGCACACAAAGGAGACTCTGGAGCGGCAACATCGCCTTCTGGGACTCCTGCAACCCGAGAAGGTCTTCGACAAGTCGCAGAACCACTCCCTGGGCCGTGTGGATCGGATCCAACGGTCATTGGCAAAGGGGAAGCGATTGCAGCAATTGGCGGAGCAGCACAAATGGACGACGGAGGAGGTTCTCACGGCGAATGAGCTGGTCGGTGAACCGACGCCGTATGGGCTGCACTCGACTATGTTCTTGGTATGTTGCATTCGCATTCTTGTGTAGAAAGACGGTGGCTAACTGCTATCCCTGTGTATAGGTGACCCTGCGGGAACAAGGTACACCGGAACAACACAAGATTTTCCTCGAACGCGCGCAAAAGTACCAGATCGTCGGATGCTACGCACAAACAGAGTTGGGTCACGGTTCGAACGTCCGCGGTTTGGAGACCACGGCCACATATAACCCCGATGACAAGACCTTTACCATCAACAGCCCGACCCTGACCGCGTCGAAATGGTGGATTGGCTCGCTGGGACGGACGGCCAACCATGCTGTCGTCATGGCACAGCTCTACGTCGGCGGCAAGAACCTTGGCCCTCACCCGTTTGTCGTTCAGATCCGTGATATGCAGACTCACCAGCCTCTGGAGAACGTCTATGTGGGCGACATTGGGCCCAAGTTTGGATACAAGTGAGTACCGTGGTCTACCTGAACTTTGGTAGCAGGATACTGACTATCGCAGCACCATGGACAACGGATTCCTCCTCTTCAACAACCACAAGATCCCCCACGTCAACATGTTGGCCCGCTTCACGCGCGTCGACAAAGAAACCAACCAATATGTCCGTCCCGCATCGCCATCCTTGCTCTACGGAACCATGACCTGGGTGCGTTCCAGCATCGTTCTTCAGGCTGGTGGTGTCCTCGCCCGCGGTGTGACCATTGCCGTCCGCTATTGTGCCGTCCGGAGACAGTTCCAGGATCGCGAGGCCACCGAACCAAAGGGTGAGAACCAGGTGTTGAACTACAAGATGGTTCAAGTCCGTTTACTCCCTCTCCTGGCCGCCATGTACGCTCTGCACTTCACTGGTCGGGGAATGATGAAGCTCTACGAAGAGAACCAGAACCGCATGAAGGCGGCCAGTCAGCCCGACCAGGACAGTCGTGGTGCTGGCCCTGAGCAACTGCGCGCTGGTGCAGACTTGCTTGCAGACCTGCACGCCACTTCCTGCGGTCTTAAGGCTCTTGCCAGTACCACTGCTGGTGAAGGTCTCGAAGTTTGCCGTCGTGCTTGCGGTGGACACGGATACAGCAGCTACAGTGGTATCGGTCCTTGGTACTCGGATTACCTGCCTACTCTGACCTGGGAGGGTGACAACTACATGTTGACCCAACAGGTTGCAAGATACGTAAGTTGCCATCCTTTTGAACTCGTTGACTTCCTTTACTGACAGTTGCAGTTGCTCAAATCCGCACGCGCGGTGCTGTCCGGCAAAGCTCCCAACAACGACACCAGCCACATCCTCCAAAGCTACCTTGATCGCCGGGAGAAGGGCGCATCGTTCGACGTGCTCGAGGTCGACAGCGACATTGTTGCCGCCTTTGCCTGGCGGACAGCACACCTGACCTTCGAGGCTCTCAAGCACCGTGATGTCGAGAACCGCTCGTGGAACAGTCTGCTCGTCGACTTCTGGCGTCTGTCGACCGCACACTCGCAGTACTTGGTCGTGAAGAACTTCTACGAAGCCGTCTCGTCGCCCCATCTCGCTGCTGCCGTCGACCCGGAGACTCTGAGCCTCCTGCACAACCTCTTCCGCCTGCACGCCCTGCACACTCTGGAGCGCGAAGCATCAGAATTCTTCACCTCGAGCGCCGTCACAACCCGCCAGATCGGCCTGGCGCGCACTAACGCCGTCATGAAGCTGCTTGACGAGATCCGCCCGCACGCCGTGCGACTGGTAGACGCATGGAAGATCCCCGACTGGCAACTCGACAGCAGTCTCGGTCGGTACGATGGTGAGGTATATCCCGACCTCTTCCGGCGCGCGAGCCAAGAGAACCCTGTCAACGACTTGGTCTTCGACCCGTATCCGTGGAACGAGAATGTGTTGAAGAACGGTTCTCCGAGGAGCAAGCTATAAGCCTTCTTTCCTTGCATGTCCCTTTATTTTTCGATAATCTTTCTTCCTTTTCGACTGTATATGACTTTAGTGGTCCGGTCTTGATAGAGTATATAGATTGAATAGACCAAGAATGTACCATAATACAATTGGATACTTGATGAGAATTTTCTGCACACCAATACACTATCTAAACGAACAGGAATAAAGAAGTAAAATTATATTAAAATATAAAAAGAAAATAAAAAAAAAAAAAAAGAAAGCAGAGGTCCTGCCCGGGATCGAACCGGGATCGTTGGAATCAGAATCCAAAGTGATAACCATTACACTACAGAACCGTAGATGGTACTCTTTATCAGTAATTGATTTTATCAAGCATTATCAAACATCACAACTAATCAATATCAACCTCGTCAATGTCATACGACCAATCCTCCTCGCGAAGCCCCCACGACCACGAGCTGAACACCCGACGGGCCCAGAACCATGCCCACATTCCCCATTCCGTGATGGCCATCTGCCATGGCCCCTTTTGACGGGACCTGTTACCGTTGTTGGCCGCTTGGGACGCAAATTCCTCGATTCGTGGACGACGGATTGTCTCGAATTGACGTAGACTTTCTTCCAGAGGAGCGGATTCCTTCTTCAAGAGTCGGGATAGGAGGAACACATCCTCCAGCGCCATTGACACGCCCTGTCCCACGTGTGGCTGCATTGCGTGCGCCGCATCACCGATTAAAACACATCGGCTGGTGTGCCAAACGCCTCCATGCGGAAGCCGGTAGATGGGATAGAAGTTGACTGTATCGGTTTTTGAGGCGACATCGCGAAGGAAAGATCCCCAATCTCCGCCAATCTCGCGGATGATCTCCTGGAGTGTGTTTTTGAATCCCGCGACTTCTTTCTCGCGATGTTCATTCCACCCATCCCTCTTGTCCGCCGTATCCGGCTCCGGAATGTGTCGTGTGAGGAACCAGAACAAATCCTTCTCTTGTGAGTTATCTGCACACGGGACAACCACTACGGCTCCTTGCGATGTGAAAGTGGCGTGCATCCCGACCAGCTCAGTAGGCATAGGGACAATAGAAGACATGGATGAGACTCCGGAGTACTCGGGCGTGACCTCAGGGTCGACATGCAACTTGCGAACAGCCGAATGAATGCCATCACAACCGAGGAGCAGATCCGCCGTATCGCTGCTCCCATCCGAGAAGGTGATCGTAGCGCCTGTCCCTGCGTCTTCGTCGACAGCCACCAGACTTTTGTTGAAATGGATTGGTATGCCACGAGTTTGAACTTCGGAGAGAAGAGCGTCTACAACCACTGTCCGCTTAATCCGAATAAACTCATATCCCGTCTTGGCTTTGAGTCTGGTGAAATGATCGAGGCGACCCAGTTCGTTACCGTTGACGGAATGGAGGGTTATCTGTGGTGTAATAGAGCCTCCTTTGAGAAGTGACTCGTACACTCCCAGTCGGTCGAGGAGACGCAGGCCATTGGCTGGAATATTGATGGCGCCACCAAGGTGGGTGGGTTGCTCCCGTATCTCATACACCGTCACAGAGATGTTATTCATGTCGTGAAGACGAAGAGCAGCTGCAAGGCCGGCAGGGCCTGCTCCTATGATGACGACCTGTCTTAATGAGCAAGTATTCTCAACCACAGCGAACGGGGTACATACCTTGTTGATTTGGGCCATTCTGCTGATGTGTGTGCCAACTTTTTTGCTTGCGAACAGTTTTATCCATAAGCGAGGCGGAATTGGTTCATATATTCCATGACCCCTCTTATATCGAAAGTCGGTCTCGGGGTCGGTCTCGGGTTCGGTGTTTATTTGGATTGGACAGAAACCCTGGCGCCTTGAAGGATTTGCGACCCGAAGTACAATCCTCTATCTCCCCTCTATTCCGTGAGTCATCACGGCATATCCTGACTCTATACATTGTCGGTATCCCGATATCATCCTCCAGGATCATTGCCAATTCGGTCTCCCATGTTGATTGGTCGAGGCAGATGAATCCAGTTTCGGCAAGTTGGCCGATTCTGCATAACGGAACATATGCGTTTTATGCCTCCGGGTCGATACCGAGTGACAGTGGGTCGATGATCTCAACATGATTACCAAGCGAAGCAACCAAGTAACTAACTAGTTAGTTAACTATGTGCCTATAACTATATGGTGATCGCTGGATATCACCCCGTTGCTGAGCACATTTCGTTCAAAATTGTATTCTGAAACTCGGCATCATGAAGAGCGCAATCAACTTGGCTGGTCCAGTCGTCAAGATCATTGACACCCCCATTCCCGAGCCCAACGATGGTCAGGTCTTAATCAAGGTCGTTGTGTCCGGTTCCAACCCCAAGGACTGGAAAGTGCCCGATATTGCCGCCATTGACGGACATCCATTCTTCGAGCGATACTCGCAAGTCCGGGAGGGCGTCAACCAGGGCGATGATATCGCAGGTATCGTCGAGAAAGTGGGCAAGAATGTGGTCGAGTTCAAGGTAAGTTCCCGAATCATTAACTGTGATAGTTTTTATGAGTCTGACCAAGTAGCCTGGTGACCGAGTTGCGGCGTTCCATGAGATGCTGGCCCCTGGCGGCTCCTACGCAGAGTACGCTTTGGCGTGGAGCCACACAACCTTCCACCTGCCAAAGGAGTCTTCCTTTGAGGGTATGTCAGCCTCTTCCATGGATCTACAGATCAGTTGTCAGTTACTAACGATTAGCAGAAGCTGCAACTATCCCCCTCGCGGGGTTGACTGCTGTCGTTGCGCTTTATCACCACTTGGCGCTGCCCTTCCCCTGGGCACCAGCAAAGAATGCCACCCCCCTCGTTGTGTATGGAGCCAGCACAGCTGTTGGAGCCTTTGCTATCAAGCTCGCGCAGAAGAGCAACATCCATCCCATCATCGGTGTGGCTGGTAAGGGAGCACACTACGCCCAGCGGCTCCTGGACTCAAGAAAAGGTGACTGCATAATCGACTATCGCAACGGACCCGAGGAGACCATCCAGAACATCCGAAAGGCCGCTGGAGGGGCGGAGATCCGACACGCACTGGACACTATTGTTCTGGAGCAGAGCACCCATGTGCTGAGATCCGTTGTCACTCCCGGAGGCAATGTCAACCACATTCTGCCCAACCCTCCAGACCTGTCTCCCGCCGTTGCAACCAACACCTGGGTCAGCTCGGCTCACCAGGAGGGAGGAGCTGACGACTGCCGGGACCTGTGTTTCTTGTTCTGCCGCTGGATTGGTCGTGGTCTGCAACAGGGAACATTCTCAGGACATCCGTTTGAAGTGAGACCCAGTGGTCTGGAGGGAGTTCAGGATGCTCTGAAAGATCTGAAGGAGAACAAGGCCAGCGCCGTCAAGTATGTCTTCCGCATCGCTGATACGCCGGGTCTCTCGTGATCTGTACATACATCAAGCTGTCAATAGTTGAAGCATGTACATAGTCGGTTTACGATACTACGATAATATATGTATCTGTCATGTCAGAAGTTGAAGTTGAAGTTGAAGTTGCCAGTTGCCCGGAGGCATATGTATGCCCAACCGCTATTCCCAAACAGGCAAGTGCGATGGTCACGGGACATCGGTCACATGAGCTGTACGACTTTGAAACGGATAAACCAATGTAGCGGTTAAAACTCCGTATCGGGGAAGTCGGGGGAGTCGATTATCCGGACTGCACGAGGCTATAGGCGAGGAATTTAAATTACACTAAAGTGGATGACATTAACATCTGTAGATAGACACCATAGTTAGACGATAGAATGAGTGCTTGGCTATCTAAAGCATATGGCTACGATGTCCGCATATGAGGAATCGGCCTCGGTAATCGGGCCTACTATTAATCCACCTTGACTTTCATCAGACTTCATGTCAACAACAGATATCCTGGTGTCTGTGAGTGGCCTTCTGCGTTTGATTGAACCTCGTTGCTGACTTTTGTTATTTGATATGATGGGCTAGATGACAAGAAACGTTGCCTACAGGACTATCTACAACTGTCCCGTGGAGAGGCAGTCCAGATATATAACTGTCGGATACCGGACGATGCTCAATTGAGAAAACGTGATTGGGACCTCTATTTCTAAATTTATTGTGGCTTGTCGGTAAGTCTAGGTCTATCAATATACATCCGACGGGAATCATAGTCTGAACACAGGCTAAAAGTAAAAAAAAAAAAAAAAAAAAAAAAAAGCGCTTAGTCGAAGATCGAGTTCTTGTACACGGAGGGGTCGATGTAAGGAGTGCCACCCCGTCTGGTGAAGCCCCATCTGATCTGGTTGGCCATAGAGATCTCAGCATTCAAATGCTGGGCGAACGTCCACGCTGTCGCCGTATCCTTCTGGAAACCGCGTCCAACCAGAGCGACATCCAATCCCCCTTCCTCGAGCAACTGGTTGGCCTGCTTGCCGTTGGTGATAGATCCGACAGTAGCAACAACGAGCTTGTCGCCAACGGCCTTCTTGACGGCCACAGCGAATGGAGCCTGGAAACCAGGACCAGACTTAACCTTCTGCGCGGCGTGAACACCACCAGAGCTGATATCGATCAGATCGACAGCACCCTGAGCGACAAGAGCCTCTGCAAAGCGCACGCTATCCTCGACCCTCCAGCTTTCCTCGGGGAGGGACTCCTCGAGCCAGTCGGTTGCCGAAACACGCAAGAACACGGGGACTTGCGGGCCCACGGCATCACGGGTCAATTGGGCGATCTCGAGAGGCAAACGGGCGCGGTTCTCAAATGAGCCACCATACTTGTCAGTCCGCTTGTTGGCAGCAGGCGAAAGGAACGAAGAAAGGAGGTATCCGTGGGCGTTGTGGATTTCAATGAAGTCTGCACCGGCAGCAACAGCACGCTTCACAGCAGCACCCCAGGCTGCCTTGAACTCCTCGATTTCCTGCTCGGTCATGGCCTTAGGCTTCGGGAACGAGTCGGCAAAGGGGATATCGCTGGGAGCCTTGACGTTCTCTGGCCATCCGCCAACCTTCTCCGTCGCAACAACAGTAGAGCTGACCCAGGGGGCAACAGTGGAAGCCTTGCGGCCGGCGTGGGCAATCTGAACACCGATCTTCTGGTTCTGGCTGTGAACGAACTCAATCACACGGCGCATGGGCTCAATCTGAGAATCCTTCCACAATCCAACGTCCTGCGGGGTAATGCGGCCTTCGGGGACGACTGCAGTGGCCTCAATCATCATCATACCGGGACCACGCTGGGCAATGCCACCAAGGTGGGCAACGTGCCAGTCGGTCATGTGGCCATCCTGAGCGGAGTATTGGCAGAGAGGAGCCAACTGTGCGAAAACGTTAGGGTAAGTCATAATCGAAGACTTTGACGGGATCACTCACGCCAATGCGGTTCGGGAACGTCACGCCGCGAATGGTAAGGGGCTGGAAGAGCTTAGGTATGACCTGACCGTTGGTCTGGGGGTTGGCTGCTGTTCCCGCCGGAGGCTCCTGGGCCGGGGTGAAGTAGGAGATACCCTCCGCGGGCTTGATGTCGATGTCGGGGAGAGACATGGTATTTGCGAGTTACAGTATGAGGAAGAAAGGGATAATGGTGACTACTGCCTACAAGCTACGGCGCGTCGCTCTCTCTTTATATACTACGGCCGCGAGTCAATGGGTAAATTCCATTGCTTTGAAATCAACTTGGAAAGTTAATCCAGGGGTTTTGTGGTAGAAGAACAGATAATAACCGTGCCATTGAGACTCTTTCCACGCCCTGAATCGGGCCGACTGAAGAAAAAATGTCTCCGAGGTGACTAATGAGATCTATAATTGACCGAAGAAGTTTAGCGTCAATGGTGGGCCATTCATGTATCAATTTGGTTTCTGATTGGCTGACTGTACAGATCGAGATTTTGCAATCCGGAGTACATTAGACGAACAGGGGGCGCTGCAGAATACATACCAGGATCCCATGAACGTCACTTGAAAATTGGGACTCACCAGAGGTCATGTTCAGTCGATTTATCCTTCAGAGTGAGATCTCACTTGCAACAACGACCGTGCACTCGCGTCATGGCACAAGACCGCAACAATACATGTACTCCAGAGTAGGTCGGAAAAGTTTCGGGATGGAAGCGAGACAGTCATGGTGCCCTTGCAATTTGAGAAATGACTTGGTTGTGCTGCCGGCTAGGCCGGGGTATGGATATATACGTTCACAGTCCGGTTTCTCCGAGCATTCCACTGTGAGGGAATATCCAGATGGTGCGAGTAAAACTTGCCGCAACAGCTGCGGCGATAGACCCGTTTTATTGACTATGTTTCTGTTCAATTCCACAAGAGCTACACCCCCTTCGTGCGGTAGATTCGGTCGTTCACGAAGCCGGCCATGGAGCAGGACTGGAAATGGTTCCACCTTGGTCGAACGGGGCACACGTTTCTCTAGCAGTATGACCGGCATGGCACAACCCAGTTACTTTCATTGAACCGTGAATGCACCGTATTTTCCAGAGATGCTTCCGGTGCGGGGGACCGGGCGAGGTTACTCAGTATACCGTTTTCAGTCATCCGAGGTCAAAGATGGCATTATTGCGGCACCGATGAGAAATGCCCTCATACCGCATCAAAGAAACTGCCTCCATAATAATATACGAGCGGGGAAACAAACCACTCCGGGAACAGATGGAAAGAGTTATCGGTAGTTGACTATGGTCACCAGATGCTTTGGGTTATCGGAGTTCCTCCGGCCAAGAACTGTCGGCCACTATGAGCGACGGTGTGGCTTTTAGCTTGCTATCAGATGTCATCCCACATAATCTTTACCCCAGATTGACCCCAGGTAAATATGTGGGGCCTCGCGTGGTGTGGGGATACACATTTCGGAATTTTCCTCGCAATATGGGGATTGCATGGCGGATGCAACCATATCCAAAGGAGCCCTCTCAAGATCCAATAATACGCCGTGAAGACATCGAATTGCCTTTCTGAACGGTTATATCCGACTGCCATGCCTTGGCTTCTGGCCTTTTTGATGGTATTTTCATGACCCGAGGACGCTCAGGGCACCACCGATGCTCTTTCCTTTCACTCCTTAATCGGAGCCCCAAAGATTAGCCGGCCGTCAGACGTATTGTCAATGGAAGAGAGGTGAAATAGAGTGAAAGCGGTCGAGTGCTCCCTAGGATATCCAGAGGCATCGGAGGGTATAAAGAGGACGCCTCGGCCTGACTTGGAAGGAGAGAAACCGTCTAGAACAGCAGCCTTTCAAGATGGTCCGATCCAGTATTAGCGGCTTACTCGGTGCTCTTCTACTATCCTCTGCTGTCAGGGCAGAGAATATCACGAGCGACGCTCACTTCTATGGCGAGTCGTCGCCAGTCTATCCCTCTCGTATGTACAACCCTTTCTACTTTTAGTCATCGTCACTGACAACATGTATAGCGGAGGCCACGGGAACCGGACCCTGGGCCATTGCTTACGGGAAGGCCCGCACCTTTGTAGCGAGCTTGACGGCGGAAGAGAAGGTTAATTTGACAGCCGGTATCACGGCTGATAGTGGCTGTGCGGGTACTATTCCCGCCATCCCTCGCGTGGGATTTCCCGGATTATGTGTGACAGATGCTGGGAATGGAGTTGTATGTTAAGCTTCGGCTTGGTTCTTTTCCCCTTTGCTAACTTTATCCAGAGAGGCACGGACTACGTCAATGCTTGGTCAAGTGGGATGCATGTTGGCGCGAGGTATTTCTCTTTCCATGGGACTATGCATGTCGTATACTGACGTTTATAGTTGGAATAAGAGACTAGCTAGGCAACGCGCCATCCATTTGGGCTACGAGTATCGTCAGAAGGGTGTCAATGTTGCCCTTAGCCCCGTGGTTGGCCCTATCGGACGAGTAGCAGAGGGCGGCCGTAACTGGGAGGGCTTCTCAGTGGACCCTTATCAAAGCGGAGTGCTTGTTTATGAAACCGTGGAGGGAATGCAATCCACAGGCGTCGGGGCATGCACCAAGGTGAGCTAACCCCTGAAACCATGAGACGGGAACTGAGCTGACAAGTATTGCTTCATAGCACTTCATTGCCAACGAGCAAGAAATTAACCGTAACCCCGAAACCGATGATCAGGGAGAGTATGTGGAGTCTGTCTCGTCCAACATCGACGATAAGACGATGCACGAGCTGTATCTCTGGCCCTTCCAGGACGCCGTACTGGCCGGGAGTGCTTCGATCATGTGCTCCTACCAGCGCATCAACAACTCGTACGGATGCCAGAACAGCAAGGCCCTCAATGGGTTGCTCAAGGAAGAGCTAGGCTTCCAGGGATATGTGATGACGGATTGGTATGCCCAACATGGTGGCATCGCGTCAGCCAACGCCGGCCTGGATATGGCAATGCCGTATAGCGATTTCTGGAACTCTAACCTTACAGACGCTATTGCTAATGGCACGATGGAGGCCTCTCGATTGGATGACATGGCTACTAGGTGAGTTTCCAATCCTCCTTCTAGAGTATATATACGTGCCACTAACCAGTTTAGGATTATCGCAACCTGGTATCACCTTGGTCAGGACACCTACTTCCCAGATCCGGGAGTGGGGATGCCCAAGGATGTGGAAGCTGAGCACCAACGTGTCATTGCTACCTCCCCGGCTTCCAAGGATACGCTCCTACAGAGCGCCATCGAGGGTCACGTTCTGGTCAAGAACACCAACGGCGCCCTTCCATTGAACTCCCCGCGTCTCGTGTCGGTATTTGGATATGACGCTAAGGGCCCAGACGCTCTGCAGTTTAGCACTATCAGCTTCCAGTCATCTTACCCGGCCATTCAAAAGAACCATACCCTGTGGGTAGGTGGCGGATCTGGAGAGAATTCGCCGGCGTACGTCGACGCGCCCATTGACGCTTTGCAGCGACAGGCATACGAGGATGGCAGCTCAATCCTATGGAACTTTGACTCGATTAATCCTCAGCTTGATTCGACGAGCGATGTCTGTCTGGTTTTCATCAACAGCTACGCCACCGAGAGCCAGGATCGGCCCGGACTCACAGATGAATACAGTGACATTCTCGTGACCAATGTAGCCAACAAATGCAACAATACTGTGGTTGTGTTGCATAATGCTGGTATTCGTCTCGTGGACGCTTGGGTTGAGCATGAGAATGTCACAGCGGTGATCTTCGCCCACCTCCCCGGACAAGACACCGGCAGAGCGGTTGTTGACTTGCTGTACGGCCGGGCAAATCCCTCCGGACGCCTACCCTACACGGTTGCTCGCCAAGCTGAGGACTATGGCTCATTGTTGCACCCTGCGCAGCGCGAGGGCGATTACTGGCTCTTCCCGCAGTCCAACTTCAGCGAAGGTGCGCTTATTGACTACCGTGCTTTCGATGCCCAGAACATCACACCCCGCTACGAATTCGGATACGGTTTATCGTACACGACATTCGACTATTCGGACCTGCAAACGCGTCGGTCCAATGTCTCGATCACGGCTTACCCCCCGAATGCGACGATCGAACAAGGTGGCAATCCACGTCTATGGGATGAGATCCTAACCGTGTCTGCGAAGGTGTCGAACACTGGCACGGTGGACGGAGATGAGGTGCCGCAGCTGTACATCGGTATTCCTAACGGTCCCGTCCGTCAGCTGAGAGGATTCGACAAAGTGCGGATTGTCGCAGGGGAAGCGGCACCAGTGGCCTTCCCGCTGACACGCCGTGACTTGAGTGTCTGGGATGTCGATGCACAACAGTGGCATTTGCAGGAGGGAGAGTATAATGTTTATGTCGGAAGGTCGAGCAGAGACTTGCCTCTGAGCGGAACATTTAGCATTTAGATGCTATTCTAACTGGGAATGAATAAATTTGATGACTTGGGATTGCAAATATAGCTTTACAGTCTATTGACTCTGAATTGAACTTCTATCAATAATGTCCCATTCCTTGAACCATTACAAACCGCCAATGTTCATTCTGCCTCAGCCCACTGACAAACAGATACTCAGGCCCATGTTGGACAACCTATGCAAGGATACATACGACAGCGGCAGAACAAAGCCGCATACCCCAAATCCCGGTCCTCGAGCATGCGGCACCTCTTGTCACACGTACATCAGTCTATACGAGCTCGAGTGTACCCATGCGGCCACGACAAGGTCCCCGATACAGAGGATTCGATGAGTCCCGCATTGGGTGACTTACGCAGTTAATTTGATAATGTGCACAGAATTACTTTGGAGCGTGGCCCAACAATTGATTGCCAGATCAGATTCCGAGATTCCGGGCTTAGTGAGGTGGTCAGCAAACATCTGTGCCGGAGCGGAAGACAAAGACAAATCACATTCCAAACATGCCGGTGCGGAGATAGCCTTACAGCAACGTTAGGTTGGTCGGATTTTAAATGTGTGTCACAGTCGTATCAAATGATTCAGCTTTGCCCTTCGAGCATCTCCTCGAGTCTCAAGCGATATCATCTATAATTCCTCCGTTGCAACTTTGTATCTACTCTCTTCGAGATCGTTTGTTCACCCCCATATCCTCACTATCCATACTACCAGCGCCGCCGATACTTTCCACAATGCAGCCTTATCACACCCTCTCCCGGGTCCTCCCTTTCCCGGATGCGAACCAGAAGGCCTGGTGGGATAAGTTAGGCCCCCTGCTCTTGAAGGGTATGCAAAGTCAAGGGTACGATACTGAGGCCCAGTACGCTCAGCTAGGCATGGTCTACAAATGTGTCCTGCCGTACCTCGGAGAATTCCCAACTGTCGAAAATGATGCCACCCGCTGGAAAAGCTTCCTGTGTCCATACGGTATCCCCATTGAGCCAAGTCTGAACATCTCCCAAGGCATTCTCCGCTATGCATTTGAGCCTATCGGCCCCGATGTCGGTACTGAGAAGGATCCTCAGAACATGAACGTCATCCAAGACTGCTTGAAGGGGTTAATACAACATGATGACCGAATCGACACTACTTTGCATGCCCAGTTTTCATCACGATTATTGCTCACCGAAGAGGAGTCGCGGCAGTTTGCCACCACAGGACAGTTCAACTTCGGGCCCGGACAGGGCATGCATGGATTCGCCGTAGACCTGAAAGGCTCACGACCCATGTTCAAGGGGTACTTTTGCGCTGGCATCAAGTCAGCCGTGACGGGAATTCCGACTGGGAAGTTGATGCTCGACGCAGTCCGGGAGGTTGACACCGAAGGCAGAATTACTCAGCCCTTGGACAAGCTGGAGGAATACTCTGCCAATGGCTTGGGCAATTTAATATTATGCTTCATGAGCGTTGACATGGTCAATCCGCACGATGCCCGCATTAAGATGTATGGCCTCCAACAGGAGGTTTCGCGCGAGGGAATCGTGGATCTCTGGACGTTGGGTGGCCGTATCAACACCCCGACAAATCAAGAGGGCCTAGGGCTGCTCCTGGAGTTGTGGGACTTGCTGCAAATCCCCGCTGGATCGCGATCTGTCGCGATTGGCCACTGCTCAGTGGGCCAGCCGCCCAAGTACATGTTGCCTACCTTGGTCAACTGGACGTTGCTGCCCGGCCACTCAGATCCCATGCCTCAGGTCTATTTGGTGCCCTTTGGCCTGCCGGATTCGCATATTTCGGACTGTTTAACCACGTTTTTCGAGAGGCGTGGATGGACGGACCTGGCGAGGGTCTACAAGAAAAATATAGCATCATATTTGTAAGTCCTCATACTCATCGATTCCAGGAAGAGTTACTAATCTCATACAGCCCGGACATCGACTTCACACAGTCCCGCCACGTTCAGGAGGCCATTTCGTTTTCGTTCCGGAAAGGCAAGCCATACCTGAGCATCTACATGTCCCTGTTTTAAAGGTCTTCTCGACCTTGGTTTAATAATCGATCTCGGAGGCTTGTGGTAGTTACTGGATGCCTAAAATGCTGGAATCTACCAAGACGAGATCTACACAGATCATTGGTCGTATCGTTCACTATCATAATGTTACGGGTGTTATAGTGTTGCTTTAATTAGTCCTTTATAAATTGCGTAGCTACGCAGGTCGGTAATGATAATCAATTTACTGTTAAGAATGTTCCCCTATATCTCTTTTCCCGACGACAAATATGGAAACAATCAATGAGCTACGGCCATCGAACATGAGTGAGAGTTTTCTCCCACTTGAACTTCCTTTTCCGACCCGACAACCCCAGTGCGACAGCTCACCATGGAAGCGAAAGGAAGAATTGAATGAGTCCATCCTAGCGCACTAAATTACTACCATCATTTTTGTGCTGATGGAACATGCGTGCCGACCTGTCTGGATTCTCACAGAGCGTAACAACAGAGCTTACGTCGGATGAGTCTGACAGAATGTCGGAGAATTTGGAACTCACGACATTTGATGCATTTCGCGAAAGAGACCTGTCAGAGTGCAAGGAACAGGCCTCTGTACTACGACCTGTCAGAGAATCGGGTGGCACAGAACCAAGGTACATGCATTGTGCGACAAGATGATCAGACCACGACTCGGACTTGCCAATTTGTCGACTTGGGCCATCCATTGATCTGTGACGGAACCACTGAGAAAAAACACACCATAAGTGTAACGAGGCTGCAGCCAAGCCCCTGAGTATTGTTGCACACACGCAGCCGTGGCTTCAGTACATACGAACAGCGGCCGCAGCAGTTTTACGAGGGAAGTAAGACTAATACTGGAAAGCAACCGAGGTGGTAATTGAATTTCAATTTTTGTTTCTTGACAATCGAAGGGAAACCAATTCAGGTAAACGCAGAGTGACAGGGAGCAGGGAAAAAAAAGTATACGTTTGGCAGTGTAAGCAACAAGAGATGTAGGGGGAAACAGTACAACATGTTCACACAAGGCTCATTATTCTGCCGCTTCTGATATCAGCTCCTTCTCCACCTCCCGCAGAATGGCATAACTCTCCTTCGGGGCGATTTCCCACTCCTTCTCAATCAGCGCCTTTCGCTGTGCATCCCGGGCAGTAAATGTAGCTTCGAATTCCGGAATGGGTGAAAGGAAGGCACCAGCCGACGGATTCCGGAGCATGTCCTCGACCTCCACTGGAGATGCAGTCCGGATGTTGAAAGCCCAAAGCAACCGGGCAGCCGAGATAAAAAGACTGTCCTGCGCGAAGTATCGTCCTGGACAGCCACGTTGACCAAAGCCGAACGTGGAAAAAGGCAGGTTCGGGTTCGCAATCCATCGCTCCGGGAGGAAGGAAAAAGGTTCCGGGAACACATCTTCATTGTAATCTAGTGCCCATTGATTGACCAAGATAGTGGCACCTTTTGGAATGAGATAGCCGTTGTACTCCACATCACGGATACTTTCACGTGGTGCGCCCAGAGGCGCGAACGGCCTCCACCGTAAAGCCTCTTTGACAAAGGCGTCGATGTAGGGGAGATTGCGTGCATCGGCCGCTGCGGGCAAACGGTCCGTTCCGACGACCCTATCCAGTTCTTCCTGCGCCTGGGCAACTTTCTCCGGATATAACGCGGCAACCAAGACAATGATACGCAAGATTTGCTGCGACGTCAAAGATGCCTCGTAGAGTGTACCCAGTGTATATGAAACTTCAAGTTCCGACATTGGACGAGCCACCTTGTGCTTCGAGACCTCTTTAGCCCAAGTCCACGCTGGTACGTTGATTCCCTCACGGAGTCTATCCACGAAGGTCTTGTTGAATTGCTCGCAGATCCGGTCACACATTTCCTTCCAAGGAGTAAGGAATGATGGCAGATATTGAAGAAGGGGAATGTATTCCACAAGTTGGCCGGTTGCCCGAAATGAAGCCTCGCCAGCTTCCGACTTGACTCGCACCAATTCTTCCATTCCCCGAATTTCTGGATCATCCGGGTACTGGACGCGCTTGCCGTAAGCCAATGTCATGAACAAACTAGCAACCATCCGCTTGAAGCATGAACTGAAGTCATCGGTGTTGAGAAGCTCTGCCAGTAGTTGTTTGGTTTCGACGTCGCGAAGTGCCGTGTATCTCTGCGTCATCCACGGCCGCAAGACTGAGGCCTGCAATGAGCGATGGTCTCGCCAGCGTTTGCCATACTCCATTCCAGAGGAATTCATTCCTCCAGAGAGACGATTAAACATCACTAATTGTGGCCGGGAGCTATAAATAGTACTCTTCTTCTCCATCAGGTCATTCGCGACCTGATGGGAGCTCAGAATGATAGTCGTAGTTAAGCCCAAAGAAAGGGCCATTACGGGCCCATATTCGTCGCTCCATTCCTTGTATTTCTCCCACGGGTTGACAGCCGGTGTTTGAAAACTGTTACCGATTAAGGGAAGGCCACGGGGCCCAGGAGGAAGAGGAAGACGTTGCTTGGAAGAACGAGATTTAAGCCAAAAGAATGTACCAAGGTATACGGCAACAACTGCCCATGACAGGGCAGCAGGCGAGACTGATTGCACGAGTTCTCTCATTGTGGTGAAAATAATCGGAGTGTCCCACATAATGTTGGCAGTTCGTTCAGCTGTCAGCAGGTAAATGAAGATATTATCAGGACTGCAGATTCAAGGAGCCCTGAAAATCTTTAAAGATTTTGTCAGCTTGAGATTTCCGGAATTGAATTCGCCTTGGCAATGATGATGATAGTTTCAAACGAGACTGCATGCAACGACATCCAGGATGCAAGGCCAAGGGGATATCTCGCCACCGATTTTCACACACTGCAAGGAGATTGCGATCTAGACTATTCGGCCGTTACCAAATCTCAGCTGGTGGAAAGTGAGACATCTTCAGAAAATGACCAGGTAGACCCGGCCCATCGGGTGATGTTGCTTTGGTTCCTTAAGGTGATAGGTCAAGACCAGGCAAAACCAAGAAGTGCATTCGGTACGGGAATCCTGGCATCAGTTGCACATGTGCCACAGAAATCTAAGAGATGTTTTCACCATTGGCAAAGGTTGCTCGGATCTGTAGACTCGGACATAATAGCCAATCGTCCAGCTCTCGTCAAGGGCTAAATAGTTGACATGCACCACCACATCGGAGATATCATTCAGCTAGCCCCAAAAAATTGCACACGTAAGAATCAAATGGTAACCACTCTGCTGCGAAGATAGGTGAAACAAAAAGGGAATCGGGGACTACTCAATGTCGCCGGGGACTAATCAAGAGCCCCACAAGTAAAGATCTACTCAGGGCTGAGAGCGTGGAAAGACCACTGCTTGATGTCATCGCCATCCCCGTACAGCGGTCCCCAAAGTGGACAATCCTATTTCTGAAGAGGCCCAGTGTCACATTGTTCGATGGCATCTTGCACAAAGGATCACAAACAGCAACCTCAGCTCGGGTGTTTTCCAAATGCAACCAGCGGGAATTATAGTTTCTTTACGGCCAGCTGAACGCCATACGGAGCCGCTGGTTCCGTCAAATTGGGCATCTGAGATGACGAGCTGTAATGATACGGCGTACAAAAGAAGGACCACCAGGCCAAGCGCAGGACCCATCGCGGGTTCTTGTGGTCGAGTCCGTTGTAGAGGATCTCGTGAATCACCCTTTTTGTTTTCTGTCCCCTTAGATCCGTTGTCTATAGTTGAATGTCTTCTCCGTTACCACTTGGTGCATGATGGGATCCGTCGAATCCGACTCCGTCCTCTCTTTCTTCAGTCAACAGTGTTGCCAACACCCAGACAACACTGCTATCGACGATGGGCCAAATGGCAAACTTTCCTACAGTCAACTCGACCATCAGTCTTCCACACTTTCCCATTGCCTACGTCAGAATGGAATCACGGCAGGCCAAGTGGTTCCTCTCCTGACGACCTCCCGTCAGGAAATGGTCATTGCAGTCCTGGGAATCCTTAAAGCCGGTGGAGTCTATGTGCCCGTCGATGTTGATCAATGGCCTGCGGATCGCATTAACTATGTGTTGAGCCGTACATGTTCGGGCCTCGTGGTCTATACGGGCGACCATATCCCCTCCGGTGTGAACCTGGAGGAAGAGTGTCGCGCTGTCCAGGTTCATATTCGGCCTGAAAGCAAACTCGAAGCACAGTACGAGCCCAATCCAAGACCACAGTTAATGTGTATCATCTTTACCTCTGGCACTACCGACAAACCAAAAGGCGTCATGGTTCCACATAGCTCTGTTGGTCGGTTCGTAACATCACCGGGCTTCAACTATGATATAGTGCCGGGAGACCGGGTCTTGTTGGTACTTTCGGTAGCATTCGACGGTATGTTCAATCCGCTTTTTTCATTGGATTATCGAAACTGATACAGAATCGTTAGCATGCATGGGTACCTTGTTCAACACGATCTGTAACGGAGGCACGGTGATCCTGGCCAACAGATTAAACTTTCAGGAACGGTCTCGACAATGCACAATTCTTGTCGTGACGCCATCCATTCTGGATGTGCTGAGCCCTCCTCAATCTCCATCGGACTATCCCAACCTGGAACGTATTTTCCTTGGTGGCGAAACTCCGTCACAACAATTGCTGAAGGCGTGGTCAGCCTTCAACGATGTGGCCCTCTGGATTGCCTATGGTCCCACCGAAGCTACCTGTGCAGTGTTATGTGGTCGTCTCCAAGCATCCAGTGAGACTGGCAAATTCCATCCCACGAGGCTTGGACACTGCATCCCCGGCTCGAATGTGCTCTTGCTCACCGAGGAAATGGAAACGGTCCAGGATATCGACATGGAAGGGGAAATATGTATCGAAGGTCCATGTTTGACGGATGGGTATTGGCAAGATGAGGAGCGTACAAAAGACCGATTCATAGAGCATCAGGGGCGACGTGTCTACCGCACTGGCGATCTAGGTCGATTCGTGACCACAGAGGATAGCGAGACCGCCATAGAATTCTGTGGGCGGCGTGACAGGGTTACCAAAATCCGAGGGTTTTTGGTTAACCTAGAATTGGACGTCGACGCTGGTCTTCGACGCCTTGATCCGGATATTACTGCTGTCTTCTCCGTGGTGATTGATAGAAAGCTCTGCACAGCAGTTGTGCCATCATCGGTTGATTGTCGCCATCTAAAGGCAGCTTGGCGGCTGGTGGCGCCGCCCTACCTCGTGCCTGATAAGATGGTTGCCCTCAATGACCTCCCGCTGACGGCAAACGGAAAATTCGATCCTCGACAAGTTATTAGCATCTTGCGGGATGCAGTACAGAAAGACGAGACTATGCAGAACGGTACATCGCACGACAACCCTGATGCCAATAACCGAAAGCAGTACAGCTGGCATTCAGGCCTTTTAACGATTGACCAGACAATCATCAAAGGCATCCAGCAGGTCTTGGGCATCTCTCAGGCCGAAATCAATCTGAAAGACTCTGCCGTGTTTCAAGGCGTGCATTCATTAGCTGCAGCTAAGTTATCGACATTTTGCCGCCATCATGGATACAACGTCTCTGTCGAGAGCATTCTCACGGAACCATCCCTTCACTCTTTGATTGAGAAAAGCCGCCATGAAACCGAGGATAGACCGGATAGCTCGGCATTTGCCACAAGGACGCCGGAAGAAAGCTCTATGCCCACCCAAAGACCAGTTACGCCCTTGCAGAAGCGGATGGTTCTCGATAGTATAGTAGAGGATCCTAGGGCCAATTGCCTCCAGCATATCTCTTGGTATAAGACGGAAGACATTGGAAGACTCCGAGAGGCCTGGAAAACGGTGGTAACCCATGAGCCCATTTTCCAGACTAGTTTTGAGCTGGAAGATACGCAAGAGCCATTCCAGAGACTCATCGGTGCTGGGCTTTTTATATGGGAAGAGACAACTGTTACCACATACGCAGCCATTGAAGAGAGCCTCAAGTCTCTTCCTGCCGCCACCAGGCTAGGATCCCGATTCCGCGTGCTGCATTGTGTCGGACCGGAGTTTCCCCACAGCGAGAGCATTTTTGTATGGGCGGTGCATCATGCGCTCATCGACGGTTACTCCGCTTCGTTGGTGTTCGAAAAGGTCGACAAAGCGCTGCAAGATGAGCCCTTTGAGTCTTCCCATCCTTTCATGCTTGCCGCACAAGATATCGCCCGAATGCGGGATAAAATAGCACCCGAAGTCGACCACTTCTGGAAAGATCAAGAGACACAGTATCCTGGGGCAGCGGGAGAGCCTCTCATCCCGGAGGCGTTGACGGACCAAAGCGGGATGGACTTTGCTGAGCATGTCGTGAACGTTGGTATAGATAGCCAACGCCTGCGCTTCGCGGCACAGCAGGCCCAGGCTACTCCGGCCGCCATTTTTTATGCAGCATGGGCATTGTTGCTCTCCAGCTACACAAATTCAGACACGGTGATCTTTGGGGCTGTCTTCTCCGGAAGGAATCTTCCATTCTCATGGGCCCCGTGCATGGTCGGACCGCTGCTCAATATTCTGCCCTTGCGGTGCCGTATTGAACGCGAGATCGAATCTGCCAGTTTTGTTCGCGAAATTCACCAAACAATCCAGGATATCTCTCGGTTTCAGGTTGCGGATCGTCCAAAAGACACCCCACCGTTTGCAAGCACTTTGACCGTGCAAGATTCTGGTCTTCGGTCTGGGACTACTGTTATCCCTTCACTTCGGAACCCAGAAGTCAGAGAGTCAAATTTGCTCCCGCTCACGGTGGTAGTCGAAACTGACGGCCAGATCACCTTCCTATATCGGACAGATCGGTTCTCTGAAAGCCACATGAAGGACATGGCAGCCATTTACACGAGCTTACTCGATGCCTTTCTCGATCCGGGACGAAGTCTACAGGACTGTATGGATCGCCGATTTCCAACTGAAATGAACCGGACCATACTGCAGACAGGAAACATCGATTCCCAAATCGCGCGGGTTCCTTCTGTAAACGGGGGACACACTCTTTCCAGTCTCTTCGGTATGGTCGCTAGCCTACACCCCACACATGTCGCGGTTCGAAAGGGACCACATTCAGTTACCTACGCTACATTGGTTCAACATGCAGCTCGGGTAGCTGCAGTAATTGAACAAAAGACGCAGCCAGGGGAAGTGGTGGCCATCCTGGCCGATAGATCAATCAATTGGATAGTCGGCATTATGGGGGCCACGATTGCCAACACAGTGTATTGTCCGTTGGATTCATCATATCCGGCTGAGTACCGAGAAGACTTGCTTCGGCGCAGTCATGCCAAGATATTCCTGGTCCCAAGCAGGTCACAACTCCCAACAGCCGATAACGGGGTCGCAGCCATTTCCATCGAAGACATTCTGGCTAGCGATATCGAACCACTCTGCCCATGGCGAACACAAACACCTAGCGACGGGGCGTACATTTGCTTCACGTCAGGTTCAACAGGTGTTCCGAAAGGCAAGTATACCAGCAACCTTTGTTTGCAATGTCGCTAATGCATGTCGTCACAATAGGCGTCCTTTGCCTGCATCAAGGGGTGGTTTCGCTGCAATCGTGCTCCGTGGAAGGACGGCTGCATAGTAAACCTGGACGGCGTATCGCTCAGTTCATGTCAACTGGTTTCGATGTCTGCGTTCATGAGGTTTTCGCCAGTCTTTGCTACGGAGCCACACTAGTCCTGCGCAAAGACGATGATGACCCCTTTTCTCATTTGGCTGATGTGGACGTGGTGTCCATGAATGCGACTGTTGCTGACTCGCTAGATCCTTCAGAGTATCCTGATTTGGACTATGTATGCCCTCCTTGTTCGCGTATGGTTGCTCATAGGCTTACCAGACTTGAACCAGGTTTACCTTGCTGGGGAGCCAATCCCACAAAGAACAGCAGACAAATGGGCAATAGATCGAGAGCTGTACAATGCATATGGACCTACAGAGGTGCGTACCATTTTTCTATCCCCTCAACCAACGACCATTCAAGATATTTGACGGTTGCCGTGGTCCGTAACTAACCATTTTAGGCCACAATCATCGTTACGAGGACACAGCTCGAAGCGGGCATTCCAGTCGCTATCGGCCGGCCGTTCCCTTCTGTAAGAGCATACATCCTTAACGACCGTAGGGAGCTTCAGCCGCCAAACTCTCTGGGCAATCTCTTTGTCGCGGGGGTACAAGTGAGCCACGGATATCTCGACCTACCTGAAGTCACTGCCAAGTCATACTTCCCTGACCCTTTTCTTCCCGAATCTTCCAACGAGCGCATGTACGACACCGGTGACATTGGATTCTGGGATACAGACGGAAAGATTCAGTGCTGTGGCCGTAAGGACCGTCAGGTCAAAGTACGCGGGTTCCGTATTAATCTCGATGGTATCTCGAACATGGCCACCCTCCGCATGCCTACAATTCGCCACGCTGCTGCTTTTGTCAAGGACGGTGCAGTTGTGCTGTGCGTGGAGCCGGAAGACGTGGACACGGACGAGTTGCGGACCCGACTAAAGGATGCCCTGCCCCCGCATGCAACCCCCCGGACCATACATTCCATTGCACATATTCCGTTATCGTTGAACGGGAAAATCGATGTCAAGGGTTTGGCTGCTATGGAAGTTCGCAATGGCACGGTGCCGACCAATGGGGTTACCAAGACAAGTAAGCTGGATTCAGCCCGACAAACGAGCAGCAATGGCCTGAGTAATGGTGTTTCCGATGCCTCGAGCGAAACACACCTTGAGAAGCTTATCATTCAAGAGTGGCAACAGCTCCTCGGCCTTGATCCATCGCAACCACTTTCCAGATCAGACGACTTTGTCCTTCTCGGAGGCGATTCTATTCGACAACTCAACTTGGCGGCACGCCTTCGGTCCGTACTTGGGCTTCCAATCAAGGTTAAGGACATCATCCGGTCCTCCACGTTGGGTGACTTGGTTACTCTAGTTGTGCAGCGGCAAGAGCAGCATGGAAAGAAGAATGTACCTAACGGTGCACCTGCTCACAATGCCGTGGATCGACCACTGGGATATAAGAACCTCTCACCCCCAGAAATGGAATGGGCGTGTAAGTATCGCCATTCGCAGTCGCAGTCAACCTTCAATGTGCCTTACGTTGCACGGCTCTCACCGGCAGTTGACTGGCAACGTCTCGCGAGCGCCTTGGAAACGGTCCTCAATCGCCATCGCGTGTTGAGATCGCGATTCACTGTGAGAAAGGATGGAAGTGGCGAACGTGTTTTGTCTGAACACCCAATCAGTGTACAACGGACAGTGCATGATGTCGACATTCAAGGGGTGATAAACCGGCCCTTTGGAATCGACAGCAGTGAGGCCCTTATCCACACGGTTATATCGCCATCAACACTGGTCCTGTGTATTTCGCATATCCTATGTGATCTAACGTCCATCAACACGTTGTTATATGAAATTGCAGCTACCTATCGTGGATTGGTCTTATCTCCGGTGGTGCGTGAGTATTTTGATGTCACATGGCACCACACGATCGACCCGGAGAAGCAACGGTTCTGGGCAGAGTACCTAAAAGGCCTCGGCTTCAAGCAGCCAGATCCAGTCAGTCAAGTCAATGGAGCCAATGGAGCCAATGGGGTCAATGGAGCCAACGGTTATAATCACTCGAACGGCACGAAGATTCGCAAACCACGCTCGTACCGGGGAACCTCACGGACAACCAGTCTGCCCGACAGTCTGTATCGTCGCCTTATCATATCCTCGACCAAGAATGGTTTCACATTCCATCAGTTTGGCATGGCCGTTGCCGGACTCGTGTTGCATTTTCTGACTGGTCGAGACGACATTGTGCTCGGTTCCCCATTCGTCAATCGCCCTTCGTTCGAGGACCGACAGGTGATCGGTTTATTCCTGGAGCCGCTGCCCGTTCGTATTTCCGTGAAGCACCAGAACGAAAATGACAGCGGACCCGGAGCTCGCGAGTTCGTGCAGAGCGTCCGACAATCCTCACAATCGGCGCTAGCACACAGCGTACCCTGGTCGGAATTGATGTCCCATTTGGGGCTCCCTTTCCCCTCCGCGCAGCCTCAGCTCTTTTCCTGTTGCGTCACTTTCCACGACGACCGCGGAACAGAGCCACCTCTGGCGATACACGGCGTGGAGGGACAGTATATTTCAGCGGAGGGAGCGAAATTCCCCTTGTTGTTCGAGTGGCAGGCCACCAGAGCTAGTGAGCATGAGCAACTCACTATGCGCCTTGAATATGACACCGATTGGCTTTCTGCGGAGTTTGCAGAGATTCTCGAGGCTCTCCTGTTGGAGTCCTTCCGGATGTTGCTGGAGGAAGAGGACAGCCATCACGGCGAAGTGAAAGAGCGGCTGGGAGAGGTGCTTCGGAGCGATGCCACTCGTATCGGAGTTGGTGTGGATGAGATATATGAGACGGCACGACAGTATTTAACGGTGGTATAGATGAGTTGATGTTTCTATGCACAATGGAGGTTGGGTTTGTTGCGGATTCGAAGGCAGGAGGTCGGTTTATCGTGGGGAAATCAGGTGATGATAAGCTAAGATCAGATGTCCCGAATAGGTAATGCAACAACATCGGCCTTTTCTATTCAATAGAAGAAGCCAACTGGTGGTTGTCGCTGACATCCTTTACTCTATATTGCAATAGTTCAAAAGTATATATGTGCAGGAGGTAACGTAGTATGATCTATGTACAAGAACTGATCGCTAGGCTTCTTAAATGCGGATAACTGCGAGGCTTCACAATCTCCCTGGTTTACACGTTGGGGAAGTTATAAAAGAAAGGCTAGGATTATACTGCAAATAGAGCTAAACAGGTATTTATATAAATTTATGGGTTATATCATTGCCGCGACAGCGAAAATACAATGGAAGCAAAGACACAGAAGAGTTCAACTAACGACAACAACAACCTTGGGCATTTCGAGCTTACAATGGGCTCTAATGCGCCTTTACCGCTAACATCAACCCCTTCATACTGCCTGACAAGGCTTTTTTTTTTTTCTTGTTCAGTACCGAGCCTGGCACCCAATTGCCGTGAATTTGAGCTTTGACATGAAATGGGAGCTGCACAATAGCAACTGGCTTTTCGAAATTCCTGGTGTCAATGATTGCGATATCACATCGATTTTCAGCCTTTCTTTCAATCAACATCATAACCCATCCATCAGCTTCTGCCTCGGAGCGTGGAACAAAAATGGGTTCTTGGCAAAGTGCTTTATCGCCAGCGTAGAAATAGCGAGTTTCACCGGTGTAATTGCTGTGCATTGCCAGTCCGTTGAGCCCTTGGAAGATATTCTTACTCCCGTCGCTATTCTCAGGAATGAAAACATTGAGGAAAACCCACTCATGCTTGGTGGTTAGGAACCTTTCATCAATCCTGGGAAATTCCGAAGGAAGGTCAAGGATCACAACTGGGTCGGATATAATGGTGCCAGTTGGTCTGCTAAGGTCGAATTCCCAACGAACGAAATCAGCCTTTGTCTTGGGAGATGGCATTCTGCCGTCCTCGGGTGGGGAAAAGGGGAAGGCATTATCATGAACCCTCGAGCTTTCTGCATAGATTCTCCCATCGATTTCCCAAGCACTTGCGGTATGGATCGGCATACAGTTCTTCCACGAATATACACGATGCTCCCCATTTGCCCAACCATACTGTGCAACGCTTCCTGGGCGTCGGTGTCCAAGGTGTCCGGGTCCAATGCGTAGGGAAGAGCGACCTCTCTGAGTGCGAGGAGTTGACCCGCCCAGTAGATGAGATTGGTATTTGCCGTAGAATCCACAGCCGCCCTCACACAAGGGTGATGTGTGAAGGGATTTCGATATAGGCCGAATAGTGCCCTACCTGCCTTGCGCTCAAGTTTATAGCGCTCGGTTTCAATATAGCGCATCTTCATACCCACACGACCTTCGTGAAATCTGAATGCCGAGATATTCCCATCGCCGTCAATGGGCACGTTACGCTCATCTGGTGGAACAAACGGGTCGACCATGACACGGTAAAAGGTGCCGCTGATCTCTTTCGGAATCTCGCCCAATACGACAAGGTCTGCGATTTCGCCTTCCAGACGGCAGGGAAGATTGGACCCGGCGAGGTCAAGGGCGATGGGCCATTTTGAGAAAAGTCCATATAGACCATCGTGTGCCTTCTTGGGAGCCTCCATGATGTGAATAGGACAATCGAAATGTTTAGATAAGAAAGAGAAGGTGATTATTCCGAGCAATCCGAAGGGGGCAGATATAGCTCTTTATAAGCATGAGCGAAAAGCATCGCATCAAGATGCCGGTCTTAGTTTCCATCTACCAAATGCGGACGAATTAGGCCAATCAAGAATCGTCCGATACTTTGCTGCATTTCTTTGCAGAGCTTCCACTCCGGGGCAGACTCCACCCCCGCCTCCTCTCCGTCGGCAAATCAGACCCGATGCATTTGATAGTTACATATCGAATTCTCTCTGAACAATGTTCTATTAGTTGGCTCGAAAGGAGGAGCTTATTCGCTATTAAATGGAGGAGGCAGGAGCGCCCAGGGCATTCACGGAGATTACTCTCAGCTTTGGAGTGAACTTTGTGAAGGAATTCGCTTGCCGAATTGCAGGTCCAAACCCATGATAGACGCTGAGCTTACCTTTCTCTGTTATGTTTTAAATGGCCCAGTCTCTTTACGAATGGATGGTGGATTTCCTAAACTCCCCTCGAAAGCCTGGTAGATCTATCATCTGAGAATCCATTCCATTTGCCAAGTCGAGTAACTAGTTATGAATCTTGAGCCTGCTAACTCAGGCAGCCTCGTTTCTATAGTACCCACTCTGTGGTGACGGAGTTGGATGCAAAGGTATAACGCGGATGCCTTTACCAGTGTGCTACTAGTTAGGGTAAAACATCGGGCCAAGGCTAGGCTCTCTAAGTCGGTCGAAAAGGAGCACCGCAGATCCTTGGTGCTTTAGAGAATTAAATGGAAAATCATGATTCAGTGTCTCTTTGTTTCAATTCTGTACCCTTTCTTAGTAGCATTGGCCGACGCATTGAAGGTTTTATTTTTATTTTTATTTTTATATGTTTTTAAATGCTGTTGTTACACCCTGTGCATCACTCTGATGGCCTAAGCCGAACTCTCATAAATATGTAAATGGAAGAGGAAGTTTCCCTGATCGCATGGGTAGAATACTCCTGAGTACTCTGTAGTTCGTACGGACTTCGCCCCACCTCCACAGCACGAGTGGATTTGTCACAGGTTCCCTGGTAGACCAGATTTAGAAAGGGGAGTGATACCGGGCATGGAATTGATGATCATGCAGCATGTACTATAAGAGCCGCAAGGTCAAACTTAATGATGGGGAATTTCTTGCATCACAATCCTTATTTTTCTTTCTGTCAAGATGCGGCATGTCACTCCTTTCTTTCCACTGGCACTCGCTTTTTATTTACTTGCATTCCTTGCTGTCGTCCTCTAGTACAGTGGGTAAAAGCACCGGACTTCTGGACTCTGGAAATTGTGAGCTACACCGAGCATCCTCCTAGTTTCTTACTCTGACTTCTACGCGATAGTCATCCTCGGGCCAAAATGGCAGGCTGCTTATGGGAAATCAAAGACCTTCGTTGCCGGCCTAACAAACCAGGAAAAGGTTAAGCTCACCACTGGCTCTGACGTACCCTCTGCAAACTGGACAGCTTTGCAATTCAAAGACGGCGATCAAGGTCTTATTGGCTACTTCTACGCATCCGGATTCGCCGAAACCTCAACCCTTGTTCAAACCTTTGACAGAGACTTGATCTACCTTCAAATGAACGCCGTCGGTGACGAAATATACAAGAAAGGATTCCAGGTGGTTAATGGTCCGACATCAGGCCCTCTTGGAAGGAGTCCATGGGGTGGACGACTTGTCGAAGGACTGGGGCAGGACTAGTATCTAAATGGAATTGCCTTCGCCCAGGCCGTGGCCGGCATAAATGACGCCGGTGTGATTTCCGGTGGGAAGGTATTGTCCTTTTTTTTTTTTTTTTTTTGGTATAGATTGGACTTTGGCTAATTAAAACTTCAGCACTTTCTCTTGAATGAGCAATAAACCAACCGGAGTGTGGAATTATCCCCTTTGGCCGGGAAGGCAACTACATTGGCGTATTCCAGATTGGTTGTTACGATGGCCTCCACCGTTACTTCATGCTTGATACCAGCCTCTGTATTCGGAATTCCGGTCAAGGAACATAGCCCATTGATGAGGTGGTGCATTGCAGGAATCGATGTGACCACGATGGAGCAAACTTGGAAAATCACTGGTGCATATAAACAGGAATGCAAGCGACTAAAAGATTTGTATACTGGAGACGTCCGGAAGGTCTAGCGGAGTCCAGCCAGCAGATTCCGATTTGGCCTAGATTAAGTGCATCTGGTCAGTTGAGGTTACAATACGCTAGGAGCTGAAAGGGAACCATGGCGTGACTGACTGTGGACATTGCTTACGGACTTTTGTCTTTCTTGTATAACACTGGCAAGACAAGCGAGTCTTGCTAATATTTGTTTCTCTATTTCAACTTCCATGTCGATGGACTGTGAACTGGCTGGATTCACTACGTCTGCGGTAACTTTTCTCTTTTCTAGTTCCACACTGACTTGAAGCGTCCAGCTTGGTACAATGGGGCTATCTCTGGTTCTGTTCTATGGGGTCATTGCCGGAATCTCGGGGTTCCTTTTTGGCTATGACTCCGGAGTCATGACTACGACTATTGCGCAGGAGCAGTTTCTTCAACAGTTCAATCCAACATCGTCCATGATGGGGACAATTATCGCAATCATGCAAGCTGGAGGCTTCTTTGGCTGTCTGACGGCGGGTAAACTATCAGATCTATGGGGAAGAAAGAAAGCAATCATGTTTGGCTGTGTGTTCGTGGTGGTGAGACTCTGACCTTTTCTGCTCTTGGTAATCCCGATCTGAATACAGGGACGTATAGGTCGGCGGCGTTCTCCAAGCTGCGGCATATCACACCGCCATGCTTATCATCGGACGTTTTATTACTGGCTTCGGTGTTGGATCCCTGACCATGACCGTGCCCGTGTATCAGGTATGCTGCTCCAAGCATATATGTTTCAATGATTACTATGCTGACAATGACCAGGCGGAAATCTCACCACCTCGATGGCGAGGGACCATCGTCGGCTGTCAGCAACTGATGCTAGCAACGGGAAATGCCGTTGCCAACTGTAAGTCTTGATGCACGATGACAGAAGGAGAATACTAACCTATCCAGGGACTGGGTATGGTTGCAGCTTCGTGAACTCCTCATTCCAATGGCGCATGCCGCTTGCTCTACAGGTGGTTCCGGGAATTGTGCTTTTCGTTGGCTCCTGGTTTCTTCCCGAGTCTCCACGGTGGCTTGTGGAGCGCGACGCACTGGATGCTGCCTTACATGTAGTACAGCGCCTGAATCCCGACAAGCAAAACCTGAATTCGGCTTACGCCGAGTTCAAGGAGATTGTGGAGCAGATCAAACAAGAAAAAGAACAGTCCTCGGAACGCAGTTACCTCCAGATCTTCCGGCGAAAGGCATGGAGGAAACGGCTCCTCCTAGGGGCCGGTATCTGGCTAATGCTGAATCTGACCGGGGTCAATGTACGTCTTTTGCCATCCTGACATCGAATCACAACTGACAGCCAGGACAGGTCATCAACTACTACTTGACTCAATTTTTCACTTCTCTCGGATATGGAGGCAGACGAGCAATTTTCCTGACAGGAGTCTACGGCTCTGTCGGGGCCGTTACCACCTTTGTAGTCCTATTCTTCGTACATCGCTTCCACAGGAAAACTCCCCTGATGATAGCGAATATCTCACAAACAGCCACGTTGATAGTGATGGCAGGACTCACAGAGGCATCGGAACTGGGAGTAAGTGGGCAGATTGGGGGCGTTGCAATGATCTTTTTATTCTTCGTCATTTACTGCAGCTCTTGGGGTCCATTGTCATGGGTGTATGCGTCGGAGATCTTTCCGACACAAATCAGATCGGTAGGTGCGCCTTTCCAAAACTAGGGATCCAGTACTAAGTGGATTTGCAGAAGGGATACTCGATGGCCAGTGCGGTCAATTGGTTAGTGACTCTTTTGTTCAATCAAACAGGTCCGATTGCCTTGGATCATAGTGGATGGAAGTTTTACTTCCTTTTCGTGGCCACGAATTTTATTTCAGCTCTGGTTCTGCTATTTCTCTATCCGGACGATACAAGCGGAAAATCCCTGGAGGCAATAGACTTGGTAAGTCTGCTCTTACTCGCAGGTAGCGATACTAAGAATGCTGACTGGATAGCTATTCGACAAACATAATGCAAGGCATAGGTCCACGCCAGAAGCAAACGAGGTGAGAAGGACAAGTATCGAATTGGATGTAAAAGGTTGAACCTTGTCCATTGGCACATGTGTATGCATGAGAGGTCTCTACCGGGACCTTACGATAATGGATCAAATTGCAATTTGTTGCCCGAATAGTGCCGAGAGCTGAAGGTACTGGGATGTGTTGAGTCTATCAGGAACCGGACCGGGTCCCAGAAACTGGGCATTAGCTTTGACGTAGCTGGATTAGGCTTGTTCAAAACCGGGCTGGCAGGGATGAAATGTAACAGAGATTGCGCGACATGCTGGGCACTCGTATAACGCTAACAGTCAAAAGTAAGACTGTCAGCAGGTAATCATACGACATGAAGGAGGAAACGTAGCAAACGCAATACTTCCAGTATCTTCGCTTGATTCATTGTAGTATAGACTTGTTGTCGAGATGTAGCCTGTTACACCGGCATATAAGAGAGCCCCTCGAGTATCAAAGGAAGTCAGCCTATTCCAAAACAACCTAATCCATTACTTCTGTTTCTTTGGCGCCAAATATGACCTCGTATACTGACCCCAGCGAAGGGACTGATTCCAAAATGCCCTCTGAAGTACTGACCTCTTACTACGACTATCCCACTCATGACCAAGAGGCGTGGTGGCGGGACACGGGTCCTCTTTTCGGACGCTTCCTTAAAGGCACTGGGTATGACGTCCACACCCAATACCAATACCTGGTGTTCTTCATAAAGAACATCCTTCCGTCCCTGGGACCATATCCCGCCAGATGGCGCAGCACTATCACGCCGACTGGACTGCCAATCGAGTACAGTCTCAATTTCCAGCAGAATTCCCGGCCATTACTGCGCATTGGGTTCGAACCGCTGAGTCGCTTCTCTGGGACACCTCAGGATCCCTACAACAAGATCGCCACGGCAGACCTATTTAATCAGCTGTCGAAAGTACAGCTACATGATTTCGATACCCAACTTTTCCATCACTTCACAAGCGACTTCGACCTGTCAAGATCTGAGACCGAAGCTTTGCACAAGCAGGGTGGTATCAATGGAAAAAGCACCGTTCGCAGCCAAACGGCTTTCGGGTTCGATCTGAAAGGTGGCCGGGTCGCCGTTAAGGGTTATGTGTTTGCCGGGCTGAAAAACAGAGCCACTGGGATCCCCGTGGGCCAGCTCATTTCGAATTCCGTTCGCAAGCTGGAACCCCAGATGCATTGCTGGGATTCTTTCTCCATCCTGAACGAGTACATGGAGGAAAGCGATGGCTGGAACGAGTACTCTTTCGTGTCGTGGGATTGCGTCGATATTGAACGGTCTCGGCTTAAGTTGTACGGCGTTCATAATGCAGTGACATGGGACAAGGTCAAGGAGATGTGGACATTGGGCGGACGAATCGAGGACGATGCCACCATCAAGGCTGGTCTCGAGCTATTGCAGCACATGTGGTCGCTGCTCCATATCAACGAAGGTAACCGCGACTACAAGGGTGGATTCGCAGCCGACAACGGTGGAAAGACGTTGCCCATTATCTGGAACTATGAGCTCAACAAGGGCAGTCCACACCCAGCGCCCAAGTTCTATTTCCCGGTCCACGGCGAGAATGACTTGCAGGTATCAAAGTCCATTTCCGAATTCTTCACACATCTGGGATGGGAGGACCACGCGAGACAATACCCGCACCTGCTGCGTCAAATATAGTGAGTGACTATTCGAGACAGCTCGTGAGGATTATGCTAATCTGTCACAGTCCTAACCAGAACATCTCACAAACCGAGCGCCTGCAAGCGTGGATTTCGTTTGCATACCACGAACGCACCGGACCGTACTTGAGCGTCTATTACTACTCCGCCGAGCGTCCGCCTTGGGGAAGCGATCAGGTCAAATAAGCTGGAACTGGGTGATCACCATGGAGGATAGGCTCTTGTTGTTAGTAGTTGAATTTTAGTCTCCAATTGAACTCCAGTGGTTCTTCTTTCGTATGGTTCAGAGTATGTTCTCCGGGCCTAGCGTTTGGCCTCCAAAGAGCAAAGTTCGCAATGATTGTTTCGGTACTGTTCTGTCAGTGCTGTGGTGCTTCCGAAGCGAAGTCCCCGTCCCCAAACCCGGCTGCATCCATGTCTAAGCCGTGTCTACTCCGTACCGGTCCCTACCAAATATAGCAACCAGATCCATACCGCATAGGGTTAGAGCACCACCTGATCTCCTTATTCCGATTCAGGTTAGCGGAATGTCAATCGGACAGGCAGCGTCTTTTACAGCATGATGTCATCATCCCCCGCAGCCAGATACTCCGTAGATACTCCGGAGTACTTATATAAGTACATAATTGAGTTGCATCCCCAGTCTATCACAATGATTCATACTCCCCTCGATTACTTCAACTTCAATAAATACCACAATGGCAGACAAAATTGGCCAAAAGATCCTCCACGGCTTCCAAAAGGGCATCGATGAGCTCAAAAACCAGGGTTCCGCCTCCCGTCCTAACGCGAATCACCCCGGAATCCCTTCGAGCGGAAGACGAGTTATCAACAGCGACGAGCGCCATGTCTCATTCAACGGCAAAGGCACCTATCCTCGTCTGACTCGCCTATCCGACGGTTCGATACTGGCCTCATGCACCCAATTCGAGGGCCCGACTCGAGTCCTGCGCGTTTCCCGGAGTACCGACGGAGGCCAGTCCTGGGCAGAGCATGGCGAGGTGTCTCGGGCTAACGGCGACTGTGACAACGTGTTCTTGCTGGAGGCCGCGCCAGGGGTTATTTTAGCGGCATTCCGCAACCACGACATTGGCCCGAACGGCCCCACGCATTTCCGCATCACCGTCTGCCGGTCCACGGACGGCGGACGATTGTGGCAGTTTGCGTCACAGGCTATGGAGAAGAGTCCCCCGAATGGTATCTGGGAGCCCTTTATGCGGAAGGGTCGTGGTGGCGAGGTGCAATTGATTTACTCGCAGGAGTATGCGCACAACAACCAGTGTTCGATGATGCTTATTTCGACCGACAATGGTTCGTCGTGGTCCCCGCCGCGGTGCTTGCACGGGGAAACAGAGTGCCTACGTGATGGTATGACTGGCATTGCCGATACCAGGGATAATGGCCGGGAGGCCCTGGTGATGGTCTTCGAGACGACGCGCCACGGTCCCTTCAACGTCGAAGCATTGCTTTCCTACGACGATGGCCGGACCTGGGGCTGGAGGCAGAACGTGTACACGCCGGCTCGTGGCCACAACTGTGGATCGCCGCAGATCGCGTCGTTCGCAGACGGCTCGTTGGCCGTCATCTTCATGACGGACGAGGACCAGTCGCAGGTGCAGTGGACGCGCAACGCGACGGTCAGCGTCGTGTTTGGTCAGCCACCTCACAATGGACAGATCCAATGGGGCAGGCCGGAAGTGATTTGTGACAAGATCAGTCACTGGCCAGGTATCATGGCGCTGGATCATCATACGTTGCTGGCGGCGTATGATTGCGGGGGACCTCGCGCGAGGACCATTACGTTGCATCCGTAGTTGTGTCTTTTCTTTTTCATTCGCTTCTATTTAAATAAATTTTGGTTTCCGTATATAATTCTACCTTGCTTGGACAACGAAAGATGACTTTTAAGACCTGCAACCAGGCACGGTCTAAAAATATATTTACGTAGTATTCCGGACATCGCCCTCTATATACAAACAGAAATATACACTATATTGACGGAGATATCAACCCCCTTTAAAGGTTGTAAGTGTGCGCATGAATGTTAATAGTCTCGACAGTCCAAGTCTTTCCGTTGTCGCTAGTAGTAAAGTCCGACGAGTCGGCCTCCGTGAGGCCAAGCGTGTCCTTGAACGAAGAGTCAGCGGAGTCGAGGACGATGGTGGTCGACTTGTACTCTGTCATGGGTTAGCGATCACTCATTCATGCTCGTATGATGAGACTTACGGTGCGCAGCAACGCGGGTGTTCTCGCAGGCATCATCCTGGCATTCGACGGCCGTACCCCAGCCTTGGGCTTGACCGGACTCTGGTTGGCATCGTTAGTGTATGGGCTTGTGGAGAAAAGGAAGGATGGCATACTGGTCGAGAGGCTCGAGATGACCTCTCCGTTGATGGAGACGGTCTGGTCATACTTGCCGGTCTCATCGTTGTACTCATCTATGATTTGTTAGTCTTGACCATCGTCGAAGACTGTAGATAAAGGATAACTTACAATGCATGACAAGCTCGTCGCCGGGATTGGCAGGAACCTCTTTGCCACCGAGCTGCTGTCCTGTTGTTCAGTCAGCGTTGCCCATCCTTCCAATTGATTATCCATTTGGGATCCTTACCCTGAAGAGTACTAGCCCATGTACACCACTGTCCAGCACTAGCGCCGCAGTTCCTACAATATATTAGCTTTAGTTCCTAACCGGTCTCCTGCTGAATCACTCACGCGTTCGGATCAGAGAAAGAAACAGCAAGCGCCTGGATCAAGTCACCGCTACTGGTTCCCATTCCAGGCCAGAGAGCGAGTCGATCAGCTTCCTTGCTTGGGATTTCAGGAAGCACGAGGGTGGTGTTTGCTTCACGGATCCATGACTGGGTAGGACCGAGAGAGAACGCAGGACCGAAGCCGATATTGGACTGGGCGTTGGCAAGTCCGAGAAGAGCGAGGGTGGTGAGGCTTGCGAGAGTGTACATTTTGGTGTTCGTTTGGTAATGAGGATGAAGAATTCTTGGGATACTGGTAAGTTTTCGATGCAGCGGGATCACTCTTATAGTAGGCCAGCTGCATTTTCTAGACTCAAAATCTCTGACGCCTTGAAACTTGCAGTGGGCCGATGAGTTCTGGAAAATTTGTGTGGTAGACTTTTGTCAGGGACCTCGCGCTACCGTCGTTTCAGGTAAACTAAAATCGGCCCAGAATAGTGCGCTCAACACCACCTAGTGTCAGTCTTATACATATATCAACCGTGCCAATTTATATGAAAGGAGAACATTGAGAAGATGCAATAACTAATCTACAGGGTGAATTAGTCGCTTGGTTCTGTCGTATGGTCGCTCCGGCACGTACGCTGGAGTTGATACCCACAACGGAAATTTTTGCGATCATATACATATCGCCAATCTAGAAATTGGTCTTGAGAGCGCCCTATAAGGTTAGGTTTGGTTGCCAAATCTAGACAGGCTCACGCCATCGCCCTCACGCCAAGTTCCATCCTTGTACACTGGGTTTATAACTAAAGCATGGCAGGTCCCTTGGCGTAGGAATCTCGAAACTTTTACTTTGATGTTTGGCGTCGAATACCCTTGCCTTTGTGGTCCTGTTGAGATTGCCTTCAGGAGTCCAGGACGCCCATTGTCTTAGACGAATTTCCATAATGGCTGACTTCGTTCTGCACTGTCATCTCGCGTCGTATCTCTGTATATGAAGTTCTTGTGCATCACGTCGAAAGGTGTGCAGATCCCGTCTCGAGAACGCTATTCGGCAAAGCCATCCACTCCTCCCATCCGGGACCAAGAAATGCATTAATGCATTCGATTAGAAACAATCCAGAATCACAAAAGAGCCACGAATCGCGGACGTTATGTAGCAACACAGCATAGTGAGCGAAGATAATAAGCGCCTCGGGACGTCGCGCTACGAAAGCGCCGAAATATTCGTCAGACACACGCACTGGCCATGCGATTATTGGAGATTTGCTCATGAATCCCGGACTGTGCTTCGCTGAACTGCTTGCAAGCTGGAGATGCTCAATCGCATCCTTGTAGCAGTCCGTGACCGATTGCCCCAGCCGTGCCGATATAATAAGGTCCAAAAGCTTTCGGCATTCCGGTCCGAGAAATTCATCGCGTTCGGATGGAAACTCGTCATATTGAAAAATTGGCCTCAATGGGGTCTCCGCAAGCATATGATATGAAAAACCAGCGACAATGCGCACTCCCCGGAGCAACTGAATGGAGTGGCACAGTTTATCCATGAAATTGATGAAATCGGTGCCACGGAAGATAAGTGCATCGCACATTAAATGATTCCCAAGCATCACCGAGAAGAGAAATATCGCACCACAGGTCTCGGTACTAACTTCCGGCTTCATAGTGTTGAATATGGACAGAGCTTGCGTTTGTAGGTACCCTGCATGAGTCTTGTAGAACTCTCGTTTCTCCGGAGGAGAAATGACAGCCAGATGCAGCGCAGCCAACGCCAACGCTTCATTCATCGCGTAAGGAGCGGACACGCAAACTCGGAAGAATTCCGTGATGGGAACTCCTATTCGCTCATAGTCCAGCTCCAGTGACGGAACAGTCTCTGTTGACAGATGATAGAGGAGCTCAAAATGCAATATATTGACCGAGGGGAAGTCTTCTTCTCGTGTCGAGGTCGGAACACTTCCTGCCGGTGACGCCACGGCTGTTGACATTGATGCTACGGCTGGTGACGAGCGAGTTGTATGGCTGGCTTCGGTCTGATCTCTTGTAACCGAGGGAATTGGTTCCGCCAGATACTCGCAGTGCCGTTCAGAAATCGAGCAATTGACGCATTTTGGACGTCGTTCATCGCACTGGCCAGAGTTAGCTTTCCTTGCCGCGACAATTATCTTTTCCGGTAGTACATACCTTGACGTGCCGCCGTTTACATTCCACACAGCCATTTCTGGATTTCTTGTGTGCTCTGCGTGGCATTGCAGCTACTCAACGTAGGCAGAAGGAGGAACGTGGTTGGATCGGAGAATCGAAAGTGAGGCCAAAGTTGGTAACTAGGTGGCGCTAAACCCGTTTGGGTAGGTGGTATCTACACTACCGGAAATACATTTCTTCTCGATTCTTCATAGATAACCATTCGCAATGAAGTTCAAAATATTCTAGACTTGCTCCTTTGATTGTACATGTTGATAGTTGCAAGAGCCTTGAGACTGTGACCAATGTGCGCGACATGAGTCTAAGTAGCATACGGTAGTACTTGAGAATATTGTAGGGATCAAAGAGTGAATAAACCATTACTTGCTAGGCGCCATCTAATCCGATAGGAGACCATTCACCTGCCCAAAGGTTACTTTAAGATGTCCCCTACGAAGAGAGGAAGCTGACTATGGAATAAGATCACAATTGTATCAAGGACAGTCAGACGGAATTTGAAGTATATGTAGTATAGAAGATACCTCCACTCAGTCCGTATGTAATATTTATACAGACTAAGATGTACACAACAAAACGAACCCCTCTGTGATCCTTCGAATCCAGATCACCTCTCTTCACTAGTCACGGGCCGCATCATCCGGTCCCGTTATTTAAGACTGAGTGATGTCGCTGTTCGAGTACTTGCAGTTGGTGCCGTCAGGGCCAGAGCCAGACTCGGGAGGCTCATCACCGTTCGAGTTGCCCTCGTAGGTCACGCAAATGTCGTCGACACCAGACACGGTAATCCCGCGCAGAGTGGCAGTGTCGTCGTAGTTGGCGTTGATACCTGTGTTGTTCATTAGCGACATGTCACTATGCGGAGTCCAAAGGAAGTGTGCACTTACCGACAATCTCACTACCTTCAACAGCGTAAACGTTATCCATGACAACGTGACGAGTAGGCATGTCATCGCAGTTACCGCAGCTACGGTACACTTTGCCGAAATTTTCAACGTAAAAGCCAGAGACCTCAAGGGTACCACCACCGTCGTGCTGCAGGACCTTGTCATCAGCGTCGAAAGCACCACCACCGGTGATGGTAGTGGTCTTTCCATCTTTCTGCTCCTTGATGGTGAAAGCGTCCTCACAGACGGAGCTCCACCACACGTTGGTCAGAGTACAGGCACCGTAGCAGTGGACACCCTCGATCTGGTTAGGACCAATGATGACGTTGGAGAGCGAACCACCGTCTTCGATCTCGAACACGGCGTCACTGTCATCACCCTCTTCCTGACCAGTGCAGGAGACGCCGCGGTCGTACGCGACCATGCCACCATCAAAGGTCTCGCCGGCAGCAATGGTCTTGACAGCGCTGAGAGCAGAGGTACCGGACGAAGCGGGAAGAGTAGTAGTCACACTTCCGCTTCCACCAGCGGCGGCGCTGCTGCTGACAGGAGGAGCGGAAGTAATCATAGGAGATCCGTAGGAAGCCGAGCTGCTGGGAACAGCACTGGAGGAGCTAGAGGAGTCTTCATCCTCGTCCTCATCGTCGTCATCGTCATCATCGTCGTCGTCCCGCTTGAAGCTGGTCAAACGACGGTTGAACGACTCGGGAGCAAAGCGACGAGCCACAAGGTTACGAGCACCGCTGATGGTGGACAGACTGCCCTTTTTGTTGTGCTCGGCCGCGGGGGCGGCAGCAGCACCAATGGCGGAGGCTGCAACGAGAGCAGAAAGGAGTTGGATTCTCATTTTCGGAGGATTTGAATATCAACGAACGAATCGGTTGGTTTTTTGTTTTTTTGTATAGCGAACGTAATTGGCTTGATCAACAAGGCAGTAAAAAAAGAATTGCAAGAAGGCCGACGAACCAGTCGTACGACAATAGTATAGAGAATGTAGGAATTGAAGAATTGAAGTGGTTGAGTTGGGATCAAGCCGACGAGATCTTTGGGTTTAAATATCCGAAGGCCGTGCCGCGCATAGCAGCATGCATACAAACACTTCATCAACGCCATACAGGTCACTGCCGATCGAATATAGAGGGATTTTGGTGCATCCGGACGGAAACAGCAGCGAAAAACAAGATATCCAAAGTATCCTGACTCTTCGCGTGTTGATCTTCAGGTACCACTAACTCCGTGACGGTGCGCCGGAATCCAAGTCTTTCCTCATGCCACCGGATTCGGCCATATCTCTGATACGCACTGAAGTTTCAAGCACATCAACCGGCAAGTCTTTTGTCCGTTCAACGACGATCTCTGCGATGAATTTCTGTCCGATTGGCGTATGCCCATCATTTGGTCAACACGAGCCAAGGCTCGACATGAAACCGGTGCCAAGCAGCGGGATGCCTTCACAGCCACGCACTTTATCTTCAGGGGAGGCCGCCACACATGTTGGCAGTGGCAGATTGTCAATTCTGTACATTGGGATCGGGATAATAGCAGGTCCGAATGTGTTTGATATTGTCGCGTTGAAGTGACCGGGAGTGATTTGAAAGCCGTACTCGAATTCCCGAAACCAAACTCGAGCAAACAACCTCCGCGCGACGTCTCGCATCGAGTCCACTTGCCGGTGGGGAATATGGTCGGTGCTAACAATCAAGACTGCCCGGGGACTGGTACCATAATGCTTAGCTTGGACTCCAGTAGACGGCGGTGACGCGGAGGGTATAAATCCCAGACATAACATGAGTCCAGAGGAGTCCATGGCCATAGTTTATACCCGACCCGGAAAGAAGTCAAATCGACCAGGGGCTGTTGGACGCTATTCGATAGACATGTCATTGTTGCATTCTTCGTTGGATATCGACATGCAGCAGACGGGCACCAAATAAATGACAGTCGAGACGGTCGGGTTAGTAATGCTCAGAAGCAGCAGTAGCACCTACACTATTGTCCATTTCGAGAACGTTCACTTATTTGCGATAATACCTGGTTGAGTGTCAGTTACTGCTGATGCGACTGGAGGTCACGTACTTACTTGGAAGGAGTTAGACCGCTGTGGTAGAGATAGTATTATTGCATTATGGCTATCGAACACTGCCTCCAGTCGAGCTGCGCAGTGACATATCATAGGGCTGTGATCTACTGGCACAATAACAGTTCTAGAGATGTTCCCGTATTTAAAGGAACAGCCTGCCAGGATATATAACATCTGTCGACACTAGGCAGAAGTGTTAGAGAAGTGCTATGAGAGGTCTAGTATGGAGCTAGTCTGCTTCATGTAAATGCATATTGTCTTGAATGCGAACAACTGGTATACAGTACAACAACCATGTTCAGCCTTACTGGGCATACTCAAGCTCCGGAGCAGTACCCCTGTATTACTTGCTCATATGGCGAGATTCCGCTATAGTCATACTTGTAGCCGGCATTGACACCAGTCTCGCCTACATATCATACTCCTTTCGGCCACACAACGGGCCATCAACCAAAAACTTTGCAAAAATTTCCATTTCCACTTCCATTTCCAATTTTGGTTTTGCCAAACCTTTTTCGGTTTAGACTACAGAGTATATACTTCTTTAAGTTCCGCGTATGCACAAGCCAACTGTCTTACCAGCCAATAATATGGCGGGTCAATACTAAAGCTCTATACGCGTATTCGGGACTCTTCCTAATGGCACGGGGGCAATCTCCCATGAAAAAGTCGTTATTTTTCTATACGCGTATAGATAGAACTAGAACATTTCGTACATTCTATTCGATATAAATAATACTATTATGCTCAAGATGTTCTCAATCGGACAACTACAACAATTCCTCTACATTCATCGTATACCCGTCTCAACATGGCCGAATTGGAAACATACAAAGGCTACTACCTCTGGCGCTATGTGCCTTCGCTGGCAGCGGCTGTCATCTTCCTCATTCTCTTTCTAGCAGCAACCCTATTTCACACATGGAAGATATGGAAGACACGGACCATGTTTTGCATCGTCTTTGCCATTGGCGGATTATGTACGGCCTTCATCCCTTCGACATTTAAAATCTTGATGCTAACTTAATCAGTCGAGATCATAGGATTCGGAGCACGAGCGTCCGCCCACAGCCGCACCGGTAGCGTCTTCACCTATTCCATCCAGAACGTGTTCATCCTCCTCGGACCGACCCTCTTCGCCGCCACCGTCTACATGACCTTGGGACGTATCATTCGCAGCATCCGTGCAGAGCAATACTCGGTGGTTAGGGTGAACTGGTTGACCAAGATTTTCGTGACGGGGGATGTCGTATCATTCCTTCTCCAAGGCTCCGGAGCTGGCATCATGGCCACGGGAAGCAACGCAACTCTGGGTCAAGACATAACCATGGTCGGTCTGGTGGTGCAAGTGGTGATGTTTGTCCTATTCATCATTACCGCCATGATCTTCCAGGTCCGGATGCACAGCTACCCAACCCGTCAGGCTTTTGACGCCGACCTTCCGTGGAAGAAACACCTCTACACACTCTATGCGGTCAGCCTGTTGATCCTGATTCGGTCCATTTTCCGAGTAGTGGAGTATGGTATGGGTCAGGATGGGTATCTGCTCAGTCATGAATGGACCCTGTATATTTTCGATGCGGTTTTGATGTTTGCTGCCATGGTTATTTACGGCGTGTTCTTCCCGAGTGAGCTGCAAGTTAAACGTCCGAAGAGCGTCGAGGGCAGTGGCATGGCATTGGGTGGCGCGGAGAGTATTTAATTGTTCATTCTCTTTCTTTTTTTAATGTTCATTTGTAATTATTGTGTTGCTTTAGCATATCTTTCTTTTCTTTCTGTCTATTGGTTGTCATAGTATACGGATTACCCTGGTACGGAGCATTGCGAAATTGCACCACTCAAATTCTATAGAATTGAGACAAGAGACCAAAAATAAACACCCGATTTAACTATGCTCTTGGCACATAGAACATGTAGACTATTGAAGCTATACAAATACGATTCCAACCCCACTTCCATCACGGGCAGCCGATACGAATACGAGCCAGTAAAATCCCGCCAATCTATTACAGTTGTCACGTCCTTAAAACGCTGCGAATTTTTCCATTTTCAACTCCCATCCTCTCGTCCACGGTTTACCATCCCCGGTGCGATGTCATCCTCCAAGGCCCAGCCCGTGGCTGATGAACTCTTTCTCGACCAACCCCCTCCTCCATACCTAGAAATCGCCGAAGATGCAGCCGGCGTTCAAGGTAAAGCGTGCCGATCCCCCGCCATGATATCAGTCTCTAACATACAACAGACGACGGCCGTATCGAAGTTGATTTGGAATCTTCGGCGTGCAAGGCGGCCATCAAGTTAATTCCCTGGCCAAGCGAGGATTTTGACGTCCCGCCTCCGGTTTATACGGAGGTTGTTACGAGCAAGGCCAAACTCAACATCGTCATTCAGGTTGTTGGAAGTCGGGGTGATGTCCAGCCGTTTATTGCTCTGGGGAATGAACTACAAAAACATGACCATCGCGTCCGGATAGCTACGCACAATGTCTTCGACTCGTTTGTGCGAAACGCCGGGTTGGAGTTCTATCCCATCGGTGGCGACCCGGCAGACCTTATGGCGTACATGGTCAAGAACCCGGGTCTTATTCCGAAGATGAAGAGTCTGCGGGCGGGGGATATCCAACGCAAGCGAAGCATGGTTGCTGAGATGCTTCAGGGGTGTTGGAATTCCTGTCTTGAAGATGATCCGTTAACCGCGACACCTTTCGTGGCGGACGCCATCATAGCAAATCCTCCAAGTTTCGCCCACGTACACTGTGCGCAGGCTCTGGGCATCCCAGTGCATCTCATGTTCACGATGCCGTGGTCTCACACGACAGCGTTTCCGCATCCTTTGGCTAATTTGAAGTATTCCGAGACGAGCGCAAATTTTGCCAATTTCGCTTCGTATGGTATCGTCGAATGGATGACTTGGCAGGGGTAAGCACACTATTCCTATGCCATTAGCAGGTTGTTTATCTGACAGCCATGCAGCCTGGGCGACGTGATCAACGATTGGCGAAAAACTATCGATCTAGAGGCAGTTCCGGTCACAGAGGGTCCCAACCTCGCAGCAACACTAAGGATACCCTTTACCTACTGTTGGTCGCCGGCATTGATACCCAAACCTGCAGACTGGGCCTCACATATCGGTATGTCGAGCATCCCCTTGATCTATACCACGCTAACAAGTTCAGATGTCTGCGGCTTTTTCTTCTGCGATCCGCCAAACTACCAACCCCCTCCTGATCTTGATGCATTTCTCAGAAGCGGGCCTCCGCCCGTGTACATTGGTTTCGGCAGTATCGTGATAGAAGATCCTGAGCGATTGACGGCGATTCTCCTCGAAGCGGTTCGCATGGCCGGTGTCCGTGCCATTATTTCGCGCGGCTGGAGTAAGCTGGGCGGTTCCTCGCCCTCCACACGAGACGTCTTTTATCTCGGCGACTGTCCTCATGAATGGCTGTTTCCGCGTGTTGCTGCTGTGGTTCATCATGGCGGTGCAGGAACGACAGCATGTGGTCTGCGCTATGGACGTCCTACCTCTATTGTGCCTTTCTTTGGAGAGTAAGCTTCTCATCCATTAACACCATTGAACGTCACTAACCATCCAGCCAACCATTCTGGGGAAACATGGTCGCCGCAGCCGGAGCCGGTCCAAAGCCTATTAAGCATACTTTACTAAATGCCAACAACCTAGCAGATGCGATTCGCCTCTGCATGCGACCCGAAACATCAACCGCGGCAGGTAATATCGCTAATATGATGCAAGCAGAATGCGGTATCCAAACCGCTGTCGAGTCGTTCCATCGCAATCTCCCCTGGGATATGATGCAATGTCAGATCTTGCCAGACGAGCCGGCGACGTGGGTATACAAGAAGTCCTTGTCAAAGCCGCTGTTCTTGTCGAAGATAGCGGCGCAGGTTCTTGCGGATCATTTACGGCTCGACTCGAAGGATTTGCAATTGTAGGTTGCGATTCCCCCATGTCCGTTCATCAAGCAAGCTAACAATACAGCCACTCACCAAATCCAATTGTCATCCTGAACCGACGATGGGACCCCATCACAGGCACTACATCCGCCGCAATTGGCACAGGCGCCGACCTGGCCCGAGCAACAACCGACATGTTCCTCAAACCGTACCAAGAAATCAGCCGCGGTCGAGGTGGTTCATCAAGACCCAGTACCCCGCGAACTACCAGCTCTTCCTCCGTTCAGAGAGCAGAGTCGGACAGCCAGGTACCAACTGCCGAGGAAATGACCCGTGCCATAGCACAAGACCCTCGCTCTGGCTGGATTACTACCGGGAGAGCGGTTGGAGCGGGCGCAAAGGGTGTTGGCAAATTTCTGGGGTCTTATTACAAGGGTGTGCTTGTTGATATTCCGCTTGCAACGACGGAGGGGTTGCGGGCCGTTCCTAGACTCTATGGTGAAGATGTCAAGGACTACAACGTCAAAGATTGGAAATCGGGGGCTCTTGCCGGGGGGAGGAACTTTGCGCATGGTATGAGCAGGGGCCTTGCTGATATCGTCAGACAACCGTACAAGGGCGGCGTTGAAGATGGGGCAGTTGGCGCGGCTAAGGGATTTGCAAAGGGGACTATCGGGCTTACTACTAAGATGTCATCTGGTAAGCAAACTTTACTTCCCTTTCTTTTGAATCTGGTACTAACTGGTCAGCTGCACTCGGCCTCGTGGCTTATCCCGGCTACGGTATCACGAAGAGTATCCATGCTGCAATCAGGACAAAGACGAGGAAGAATATCGTCAAGGCACGAAAGAGAGAAGGAGAGCATCGCGCTATGATAGCGGTTGCAAGCGGACTCGACCATAGTGCGATGCTTCGATCATTCGAGGCATACAAGCGGGAGAATACCGAAACTCGACCATCCGACAGTCGACCATCCTCGCGCTGGCAGGAACCCGCCTAGTTAGCTTTTCTTTTTAAGAGTCTTTGATACACGCATATAAGGCTGCTAATGTTTAATCTATTATCTTAGCATCAATGGAATACTTAGGAACAACCCTTGACCTTAATCCGCAGCATCAAGCGCTTCCAAAAGGTTACTCTCCAACTGCATTCTTGCTAGGAGTGTGAGTTTAGATTGAGAATCGATGAGTTGCTTATCTGGATGGATCAGGACTTTTATAGTTGTTACTCGCCACTCTATCTCCAGATAGCATACGTAGTGAACCACAATGAACTCGTCGATCGCCACAAATAGACACCAGTCTAGGGCTAGGCTGTCGGATTCCAGTCAATTCCACCCCACCCGGAGATACCCTTAACTCCGAACCAAGTAGTAGCAGATCCCCGTGTCAGCGAAACATAAGAGGCCTATCGGGTCCCCGCATGCGTTCAATCAACTAACTACTAGTTCTCTTCAAGGTCCTGCTGACAGTCATTACTATGGCAAATACGCATTCCGATGTTCCGAGACGCTCAGGCACTACGACAATAACGGCCAAAACGGAGCCGACCGATGATACTTGGTCGGGATTGATGGATCCCGTGGAGAGGCGGAGGAGGCAAAATCGGTTGAATCAGAGAGCGCATCGTATGTATTTGGGATATAAATGCTAGGATTATGAGCTAATGATAGCAGGTCAGCGGAAACGCGCTCAAGAACATCCATATGCGCCACCGAGTACTGCGATAGTGAAGACATTACCCCAGTCTACCTCACCATCAGACACGGCAAAATCTACAGAAAATGTAGTGTCCCCAGCGTCCTCAGCAAGCAGCACAACATCAAAACGCTGCCTAGGCATCCAAATATTCAGCTACCTACAAAAATTCAGCGAATCTGCATACCAGAGCTATATCTTAGGCTGTCCAACATCCGACCACCTCCTAACTCTCAGCAAAGTGAACGTCTTCCGCGCATTCGAAGCAATCATGGCATCTATGGGCATGAACCCGGACCCGGAATGGATGCACGACGATGCAATATCGCCATTTAGCACGCTGCGGCCGGGAATCGCAGAAGATACTAATCTCCCACTTGCGCTTCGCCCAACGAAACTCCAAAAGTCACTAGCACATCATCCCTGGCTTGATTTCTTCCCGGTTCCCAAAATGCGCGATAATCTCCTCCGGGCGGGGGAGTTCGACGATGAGGAGTTATGTGTGGATATCATGGGCTTTTGGGATATGTCGTCGGATAGCTGCAGTATGCTCGTCTGGGGCGAACCTACAGATCCGAGCAGCTGGGAGGTGACGGAGGCGTTTTTGAAAAAGTGGCCGTGGGTTGTCCGGGGGTGTCCGGAGTTACTGACGTCGACGAATCATTGGCGAAGGGAGAGGGGGGATGCTATTATCTTTCGGTATATCTAGTTTCTTCTTGCGTGTACAGCGTATCTGCTTGTACATTACGAATTCATGCTCTACAAGTACATTCTCACATCGCCTCCCTCTGTAGAATGCTTCGTTGACCCCACAAAACGCGCTAATGCAAGTTTCTGACACCACTAAAAGGGCTTAAATCTTGGCGTCTTCCAATAGCCAATAAGACATAGAGCTGTAGGGGTCCGGGGAAACGTCGGACGGAGGAGATTCCATATCGGTAGACTCTGAACTTGAGCAACCTGTGCTGGATGAACAGAGACTGATGTGTTGTATATTCTTTTATCGGTTTATTGATGTAGCTGGATAGCAATTGGATAGAAGACACGTCCTCAATGAACTTCTGTAGCAACTCCCATGGCGCATTGATGAGGCGGGTAACTTTTGCGTCAGGGGCAAACAGTAGGATGTCAAGCAAGTAACCTCGATGTGCTCATTTATATATGAGGTTCTTCTGTACCTCTATGATCGCTCGACATTGCAGTAGAAAGGACACATGCTGCCATAACACGCCAGAAACCGCGCTCAGACATGAATCAGTTAAGCTAGCCAAATGAATCGCAAGGGTGGTTTAGTAGCCACAGGACAAATCCAATGCAGTGTGATAATTAGGTAGTGGAGAACCCAAGACCCTAACTGTGCTGCGCCACGATTTCGACGCTAAGGGTCTTGGTATCCGGGGGTTGAAGAATGAGAATCGCAACGCAACCACCAGTCATTCGGTTAAGTGTATCCGGGGAGAGGGCGCTGTAGAAGAGCAAAAAGACTGTTGACTGCATATCACTCTTCAGAGTTCAAAGGTCGAGGTTGCTCAGATGGCAGACACGTCTGGGATGTCGGCGGAAGCCGCGATCTTGGCACGGAGAACGAGGCAAGCAGGGTGTATCAGAAAATCCAAGAGGTCCATAATTATCCGGATCGAATGTTTGCTGAGCGCCGAGATGAATTGCGGTGATCGGCAGGCACGTTGACTGATTCGAGATTCAAGTGGTGGCCGTCGTGTCTGCAATTGCACGAATCAATGCTGCGGTAGTATTTTCGTTGGAAGCATCACCTTCCCAGCAGTTTCACGTATATCCTCAATTCTCTTTTCCTGGGATAATGAGGACTCACATTGAGACATGCCAAGATGAAAATAGATCAATATCGTAGAGGACAGGGTCCTCTTGACGAATGTATGCCATGAGCGCATGTATAAAAGCCGGCTTCGCAACCACCTCTCAGCATCATCCATCAACCAACAACACCCTCAATCTCTCAACTGTCTTCAAGGTTCTGGAAACCATCGTCCTCTTCACATCATCCAAAATGTATCAGAAAAGCCTTCTCTTCTCTCTCTTTGCCACCAGCGCTTTCGCTGCTGTCCACGGAGGCTCCCACGGTCACCTGACCAAGCGCTACACCTTCCCCCTTCCTGACTCCAAGGGCAGCGAGACTTTTGACGAGCCCAAGGAAATCACCGATGTCTTCGACGGTGGCATGAAGACGTACGGGCGTGGTGTTGAATGTACCGGCCAGGACGAGGGTGGCGAGAGTGATGCCGTCTTCATCATCAAGGAGGGTGGTACTCTCAAGAACGCCATTATTGGCTCTGACCAGATCGAGGGTGTTCACTGCCAGGGTGCTTGCACTGTTGAGAACGTCTGGTGGGAGGCTGTGTGCGAGGGTATGTCGATTCTCCCCTAACAAACGTATACGCCACTTGGCTAACAAATGCTCGATAGACGCCCTCTCCCTCAAGGAAGGCAGCGGTCCCTACCGCATCATCGGCGGTGGTGCCCAGGGCGCCGACGACAAGGTCATCCAGCACAACTCCGGCGGCGAAGTCAGCATCGAAGACTTCACCGTCTATGACTTTGGCAAGCTCTACCGCTCCTGCGGCAACTGTGACTCGATGTCCGAGCGTACCGTGACCATCTCTGGCGTTACGGCCGTGAGCGGCAAGTCTCTTGCTGGTATCAACAGCAACTATGGCGACACCGCCACCATCACTGTATGCTCTCCTGGGTTTGAATTGTTGTTGTGGCTAAGCTGACATGCACAGGACACCTGCGCTACCGATGTCGACGACATCTGCATCGAGTACGAGGGTAACAGCAACGGCGATGAGCCGGAGAAGATTGGCTCTGGACCTAGCGATGCGTGCAAGTATACTGAGCCTCTTTCCTCGTGCTAAGCCTCTCGAACTGTTGAAGTTAGCTTGACTTCTGTGACTTAGCATTAGCATCCAATGTCACTTGTATTGATATACAAGTTATGTATTCACCAGAGAATGAAAACTTTGTCGACGTTGAAATTGAAATCGTAGCTGCCTAGCTGCTTTCCTCTTTCGGAATAGACCTAATTTCTTTCGGCTAAGTCCCCACGTGATCTTGAAGACAATCAATGTAAAACAATCAATCTATTGATGGACAGTATACAGTAGCAGATACTACTAGTCAGGGAGCACCAACAGCTTCTATAACTATCTTCTCGAAACTCCGACAGACCGAAATAGACCACAAACATAAACATCAACCACCCATCGCAGCCACATCATAATGCCCAAGCAGTATATTCACCATCTCCCAATACCCCGGCATCTCAAAATCCATACTCAGCACCATCCTCGACAAGATCGCGCGCTCGATTCTCCATTTCTCCATTTGCTTCTCCATCTGCGATATCAGGGTGTCCATGGCGTGGTATCTTTGGGCCTGTGTGGGTTGGATTCATTAGTATAGCGATGCTGGGAGGGTAAAGGCGTTTATACCGCTTCTGCAATTGTGATTTCGGCGAGGGCGCGTTGGAGCCTTTCGACGTGGCTGAAGATCATTGCGCTCTGGATGGAGGTTAGAAGGGTCAGATAGTTGATATAGACGGGCTACTCGCGCGATCGGTCGAGAGAGGCATGGCGAGGAGGAAGGATTAGGAAGATGGAAAAGTCGAATTGCGATTTATTGACAAAGAGAGAGAATCCGCTGGTGAATTCCGTTTGATAAACAAATGTGGCTTTGTCTACACTGTCACCCTATGATTCTAAGCAGAACTGTCACATTCTCATATGTAGCTAGTTTTTTAAATACATAAGCTAGAAGAACTGTACCATAAAGACCATCTCAAATATGGCAGAGAACAACCTTTTTAGATAAAAAAAAAAACCCCCCCAAAAAAAAAAAAAAAAAAAAAAAAAAAAAAAAAAAAAAAAACAACCAATGCAAATCAAGAAGACTCTTCGCTTTCTTCGGCATTGGCGAAGCTCTGTTCATTGGTCAACTTTGGGTTCTTCATGCAAAACGCAAAAGCGATCAAGGGCACCGTCAAGCAGATGCCGGTGATGCAAAGTAGCCGCTGGACATATTTTCAAGAGTCGACGACAGCCTGTCTGACAGGCGTTCCCATGGCGTGAGAAGATGCAAAGGTGAACGGGTCCCCGTATGCCTGCTGAACGAGTGCAGGATCGTCGAGCTTATTGCTGAGTTCCCCTGGAAGGACTTGGGTCCAGATTGCGCCCGCGATAGTATCGCCAAGTGCGCTTCCGACGTTGTAACAGGCCAGAAAGAGACCGGTTACCACGGCAAGATCTGTTACATTTTAGTCAAGTCCGTAAAGAAAGAAAACGCTATGCACTTACGTTCATGCTTGGTAGCTGCCTGGATACTGGCTTGGGCTGAGTACGGGAATAGACCTCCAGCTGCGAGTAATTTAGCACCCAGATTCCCATAGCTCAGGGCTCAAATACACTTACCAATACCTAGCAAGACTTGTCCACCAATAACACCTGAATGACTGGATCCTCCTGACCCTCCACGGAAATATATGAGGATGCCAAAGGCAACACTGAAAAGCAACGTCCCTACAATGATGAATATTTTGAGTCTTCGAACCTTGAGGATCACGAAACCGAGTAGACAACCGGTGATAACCGATGCAAAGCTGAGTAGTGTCAGTACAATCTTATAATCATTGTTGTCGATTATTGTTTAGACTGACCTGTACAAGGAGATGATTCTTGTCGCAGAGGTAATTGACTCGTCGAAGCTGACAACAAGGACGGTATAGAGATAATTACCCTGAAGGGCCCATGCTATGGGGCATTAGACTCAGTTATTTATGGAATCCTTGGTAGGGACCTACCAGTATTCAGCATGACAGCAATTCCCAAGGCGCCCCAGACGGCCCGATCTTTCAACAACTGTAACACGTGTCAATCGACCTCTCTTTTCTTTCCCATAGATGATTTGGTTCCAGACCTTGAATGGTACCATTGGATGCTTGCATTTGCGTTCCCAGACGATCCATGCCGGGATGCAACAGACGCCGACTGCGAGCGGGGCGATGACTTTGGCGGTTTTCCATTCCGATTGGACTCCGTGCGCAATTGTAAATGGGGTCAAGATCAAGGCCAAGAAGGCGATAAGAAGTAAGATGCCGACCACGTCGAGATACCAGAACGACTCTTTAACAAGCTGACGAGCTCCAAGCAGCCGGACAGGGCTCTGGTATGTCGCAAAGGCGCCCTGCTTTTTGGCCCTTCTCTGTATTATGTAGAGTGGGGTGAGCAACGCAAGAGTACACACTGTGGTTTGTTAGTGCCATAAAAGATTTGGTAAAAACGTTCGCGTACCTGGATATATGACTGCGAACATCCCAACTCCCCATCTCCAAGTAGTGACTTGCAGGACGGAAGAAGTGACATTACCGCTGATCCACGTATTGATCTGATTTGGTCAGCGTCATTCGTTGTTCGAAAGTAAGAAGGCCTTACGATAAACGGTGTCGACGGAATGTAGGAGAAAAGCAACCGGGATTTGAGGGAGGTGATATCGGCGATTAAGACCTGAATCAGCAGGACAATTGCAGTATAACCAACCTGGTGATCACGAGGTTAGTAGACATATCACAAACAAGATAATACAGTTTTGAAATACCTGAAATATCACACCACCCGCAGCAAAGGTTTGCACATTGTTCGCGCAGGCTTCCACGATGGTCCCTAGCCGATTGTCAGAAGAGGAAAGAGGCCATGAAGAACGTCTCAAGTCATACCGACTGTATAGAACACGATCGAAAGGAGAATCACTTCGACTCTTCCGAAAACATCAGCAATTTTCGCGGCGGTAGGTTGTGCTGCTGCTGCAATCACAGCGCGCAAGACGTTGATGGTGGAGATCAGACTGTGTTGTTGGTATTCAGCTGTGGCTAGAGGCTGTGGGATTGACACAAGAATCAGCAACGCGTTCGATCCTGGGGCGTCTAATATGGGAGAAGCTGCAAGATACCTGATACGTCTGCCGAACCTGGTTATCCAAGCCATAGACGTAAGCAATAAGAAAGATGCTGGAGAACAAGAAGATTCGATCGACTAGATGAATGTGCGAGGAGAGGATTTCAATCCGTTTGACACCCGGACTCTCCTTGCTCAACAAAGATACTGATTCCTCAGAGCTGCCCTGTGATGGACGAGATTGAGAGACATGTTTAGGTACTTTCTCGTCGGGTGATGTTGGGGGATCTGTCGACATTATGTTCTGTCCGTTTTCGGTGGCAGAGACTCCTACTCCCAGTTCCGAGGAAAGAGTAGAGAAGAAAGTGAAAGAGAGGAGGACAAAGTAGGCAAGCTCGCGAGGGACAAGACAAAGAAAAATAGAAAAAGACAGATTCAGTCAGAATCCCGTCATTGGAACTAACTCAGCAACACATCATCAAGAGCTAATCTTATCTTCAGAGCTTAATCACGATTGTATAGTTAGTCAACCACGTTTCCATGGATGTAGAAGGCGATCTTGAGCCCAAATCAAATACTGGAAGGTGCGAAAACTGAGAAAAGAGAAAGAAGAAGAATAGCAGAGCAGTCACGAAAGTCTCAGCATTAAGCAAAAAACTACATGCTTCTCCGACTCGAAATTACATGGTTGTAGTTGTATTGCAGTCGAGATGCAACATCCGTTTGCGGTAGATGGTAGTATTCAGTAGACGATCTTATCTGATCGTCGGAATGTAACTAACTAATGGCTAGATGTTAACTAAGGAACTCAGTTTGCTGCGGCCAATTGATTATTCCTTTCATGTTGCGCATTGGCAAATTTATATTTGTTTCGATTTGCTACGGCTTATGGGATAGAAATTGGTCCACCAAATGGCAAGCAGCGACAACGCTGTACGAGCTACCGGTGATGGTTCAAGAAACCTTACGGGCGCCTAGTACGTATTCGAGCGTGTCGTGTCGGTATCCTACGCAAACCGAAAAGCCCAAGTCAAACGCCCCCAAGAATGGACTTTTTGATCTAGACATCGGAATCAATGTTGATAATCCCCGTGTCGACCTGCAAATTGACAGGGGATGTGTACTATGCATAGCCGTACAGGGTTTACATCCTGTTCACTTCCATCAATGTATCGCTGTATCAGTGCCGGCCGTCTATCCTGTGGCATTCCTACGGAATATCAGCGTATTGTAAGAAGCTGCATCTAACCGCATTCTCATCAAAAGAGCCGAGCAAATGCCGACAATTATAGTCAGCACATTGATCTCTGATCAGCTTTGAATGGACGGATATACTCCGTCCAGTGGTGAGCCTTATGCAAATCATCGCGCTATTGTTGGTGGAGAACCAGTATCATCGGTTGCTGCCCCTAAGTGACTAGTTGCAGGAGACTTGCGGCATTTCCCTCGTACTTTCGTCGACTCGAATATGTCGCCAGAGTGTTCGTTGTTCGTTGGACACCGTGTATGGGGAATGGAACTCAACGGGGTGCGCGTTATTATCATCCGGACTGTGCGGAGTATGCGAAACTCGTTTGTGGCCACCAGAGCACGAGGCTATGCCGTCAGCAGAGAAACAGCCGTAAGATTACCATCGCATGGCCTGTATGCAGGTTTTCAACGCGTGATAAGCTGCAGTAATCTGTGGCTTCAGGCCAGAATGAAATGCTTTCAAAAGGTTGACAATCGGGCAGAGATCGTCCTATTTCCAATCCGAGTGTGTAGTCCGGCCCCTCTCGACAGTTGACGCAGCCCCTCCGGTTCCCACTGCAGGTTCAACGGTCACCCGCTTGGCTTGGTGATTTTCATTCGATCTAGAACGCGACCGGCAGCGCACGCGTCGCAGTAGCATGGCGCTGATAAATATACACAAAATGGTGAATGTTCAAGAGCTATAGACTGTAGACTGTAGACTGTAGACTGTAAGTAAGACGAAATCCTACTATAGTAAGAGTGGTGAAAGAAGGAAGAGAGAGGAAGAAGTTGGAAAGTTGCCGTTTTGAGCCACCCGCCGCCGCCGCACGTCACATGTCGCCGCATTCTCCTTCACCAGAGCAACACCAACATCCTGTTCACACTACTCTGTACTCTGTACTTTCTTCCTCTCAATCTTCTCTCTTAGTTGCTCTTCTCAGCCTATCTCTCTTCTGCTAAGCTCTCCCCTTCGACTCCGTGATCTGCCCAGCTTGAGGTCATTACGCATGCTGCGTGGGACTTGACACCTTGCAGGCCTTTTCTTTCCTTTTTTCTGTCGCGTGCTTCGCCTATAAAACGGGACTCTAAGTTGGACAACACGCTTCTTGCTCGATACAACCTTATTCCTTATTGCCTCTGCTTGAATTGGACTTCTTGCGGGATTAGACCTTCCCCGCATAAAGTACTTTTGATTCACGATGTGAGCTCTGAGGACAAGGACAACTATTACGGTACTGCTTTGGCTAACAAACATCCAATGCTACAGGCGTATCACCGTCAGCGTTATCCGGCCTGACCAAGCCGATTCCGACATCGTCAACTTGGAAGTTGGGGGAGACATGACTGTCGAGCTTCTCAAAGCCATCATCGAAGTCGAATCCGCCATCCCTCCTACCTCCCAACGGTTGCTCTACAATAACCGGATCCTCAGCGACGATGCACAAACACTCGAGCAAGTTGGTATCGGGGAGGGGGATATGCTGGGAGTTCAAGTTGCGCTACGGACTCCCCCGGCACCTACACGGCCAGCTGGACCCCCAAGTGCCGCAGCGCAACAAAGCCTCCAACGACGACAAGCGATGACACCTGATCCTGAAACGATTCGTCTACATATTCTTGGTGATCCGCGAGTGCAGGATGCGGTCCGGCGACAGAATCCAGAGCTAGCAGAGGCTGCTGCAGATCCGCAGCAATTCCGTAACGTCCTTTATGCGCAGCAACAACGGGAGGCCCAGCAGGAGGCAGAGAAAGAAGCGCGCATTGCCATGCTGAACGCAGACCCGTTCAACCCTGAGAACCAAAGAGAGATTGAGGAGATTATTCGCCAGAATGCTGTGACTGAGAACCTCCATAACGCCATGGAGCATCATCCGGAATGTAAGTGGTTGCTTCCCTATATTTATTTGAGCAGTTTGCAAGAACCGTTGCTAACGAAGCGAATCAAAAGCTTTCGGTCGCGTTACGATGCTTTACATCCCTGTCGAAGTCAACGGCCACAGACTTAACGCCTTTGTCGACTCGGGTGCTCAAGTCACGATCATGTCGCCTGAATGCGCGACCGCTTGCAACATTATGCGATTAGTTGACCAGCGTTATGGAGGGATTGCAAAAGGTGTTGGCACCGCAACGATTCTTGGGCGAGTACACTCGGCGCAGATTAAGATCGGGAGCATGTTCCTACCGTGCTCGTTTACTGTCATGGAGGGGAAACACATTGATCTTCTCTTGGGCCTAGATATGCTGAGACGTCATCAGGCCTGCATTGACTTGAAGAGGGGGGCGCTTGTCATCCAGGACGAGGCCGTTCCTTTCCTGCCAGAGGCCGATATACCCAAACATCTGCAGGAAGAGTTTGAAGACGAACCGACCGTCAAGGGCCAGGGAGGTGCCGAAGTCGGGGCACGAACAGGAGCCGTCACCCACAAGGCTGAGGGCAACAATAACGGTCAGGGACCTAGTGGTTCCAGTAGTGCACCGGCTGCAGCATCGTCGTCGTCTGCCGCACCGAGACGTCCGGCACCTGGACCATCGTCCCGGTGGTCACAGGACTCGGTCGCAAAGATCACGGAACTGGGCTTCACTCGGGATGAGGCGATCCGGGCCTTGGACGCAGCGAACGGGAACCTGGACGGGGCTATTGGATTCTTGATTTGAAAGTGATACCAAGCGGTAGTTTTGATTCTTGTGTTGTACTTTTCATATTTGTATCACTGTACAGTCTCAACCAGCGCTATTCTGTTTCAAGCCTGTGCAATACCGAAGCCTACTGCGATTCTGCTATCGTTGCACCGGCGGTGCAATTCTTATCAAGCCCTTGAGACATGCATGCATTGGCTTGCGACTACGTATCTTGATCAATCAGTGATACCGACTGGATGGGATTATTCTTCCGAGTCAAGGAACGGTCTGTAAACTACTTATCTTAATCTACGCAGTGGCGTTCACGGGGTTGTTTTGCGATACTATAGATAGACAGGGTTCAATATAAATGCAATGTGATATCTAACGATGCATATATATATCTACATAGCACAGGATACAGCTGGAATGCGCAAGGGGAATGGAGACGAGACGATTTATCATATCCATCTCTTATTATCAATCTTTTGCAGTTACGTATGCACATGCTGCATACATGATACTTGTGCCTGCACTACACGGGCCTTGATTTTAGATACCTGCTTGACGTGACCTCATCACTCCTCGCCTCTCGTGACGTTGTTCGAATTTATCCTCTCTGTTGGATATCCCTGTCCCTTCGGTAGGGTCGTAGTAACGCCAACTACTCGCTCTTGCTCTTCTGGGTGAGACGGGCACGCAGCCGGAAGGTCATATCCAGGGCCATGAATGCGCCTACGCAACATTAGCTCATTTCAATCAAGATCTATCATATCGGTAGACATACCCAATGCAACATACGGACTATACAACATGGTAAGATTCTGCTTCTCAACCAACGTCCGATCTGTCCAGCCCCAGACCTCGGCCAGACACGGCAACGAGGTGACGAACGACTGGACGCCAAAGACTAGCAGGTGAACGGGGACCATGGGGTCATCTACGCGCATTAACATTGCATTAACATCCCATGAAAATATTGGGGGGTTGGGGGAGGGGGTACCTCGCAACAAAGCACCAATAGCCCAAACACTCAACGGAGCATGATACCAGATCTCCATAGTAATAAACACGACGAACCACACGGGCGCCGGCTGCTCGAAGAACTTGTCATTGTACGTATTTACGTAGAATTCGCGAAGTTGTCGCGAGATATCAAATTGGAGGAACGACGGCAGGAGAGGAGCCGCGTCGATTACTGCAAGGTCAGGATAATTCTACAGAAATAGCAATTGAGGCATCGCAATTGTAGAGAGCACATACGCAAGATGATCGGGAGGTGAATGACGAAAAAGACCAAGTACAGCAGGTCGAGTTTGCGAGTCCAGAGCGAGGCCGGCGCGGATCCGGCCATGTTGCTAGTTGGTGGTGTGTGCGTGTTTTAGGCCGACCGGCAATGAGAGGAGCAACAGAGGGACAGAGGGGTTCACGAGTCAGCTATAGAATATTCTGATTCAGACGATATTCTATAAAGTATAGCGAGCTCTCAATTGACTAGAGTACTCTGTATGTTCACCATGTCCATTGAGTGAAGTCGCAGCAAGCAGTGCTTGTCAGGTGACTACAGAGTAGAAAAAGCAAAAAACAATTTATATTTGCTTTTTCTCACGCGTCTCGGGAGTTCCTCCTAAACATAGCTTAAAGTTAGCTCGTGGATCGAGCCTACGGGGGTTTCTCCTGGGTAATTCCAAGAAGTTCATGTTTGCTTCTTTCGCCCGGCTTGTTGGATCCATTGCCAACTCTACTTTGGACAGCCCCATACAATATTCGGGATAAACGCATATCCCCAAACGACCCTCGAATGGCAAAATGGAAAAGTAGGAGATAATTCGGTGTCTACGGAAGACTCACACTCTGTACACCGCAAGTCCGCCGCCGTTTGGCTGATGGAGCCGTAATCAGCTGGGTCCTGACAGCGCCTGGGTCTTGGTCCTGGGCTGATCGTTCAGACTCATTTTCCGTCTGGCGTTTCGGTCTCGACGGAGAACAACCACAAAGGAACTGACTCGCTCCCTGGCGACTAAAGCCCACTAGTGTGTGCTCTGGGATGCTGTTTCTGCGCCTGCCCCCTCCCCTTACTCCGAAGCACACATCACCACCATCCATGTACGAGTATGAGCTTGCGATGCATGCTGCCGGCGACTATCCGATGAAAGAAGGAAATTCGAGATGCCGGAAACCGGAACCATGGAGTTGCATGTCAGGTTACGGTCTAGCAAAAGTCAGTCCTACAGAGTCCTGCTCTGTACGGAATCACGATCCTACGTCTACTACGTACGTGCAGTAGTGCGGTCCTCTGATCGTTTCCTCTTTGGAACATATGCACCGGGTCTCCACACACCTCTCTGGCTTTGGTGGTTCCCAATTTGGGGCCGAAGACGACCCAAAGTTCAAACGACGGATGGAGATTACACGACAAGACGCTACTGCTTTAGCTCCCTACGCTAGTTACCACCACCGGGCCGGCTTGGGCGAACGTTGCTGCTCAATTTGCTGACCAGATCGGGACAACGTGGCGATTTTCCGTTTCGTAAGAGAAAGAAAGGGGAAAGCAAAAGGACGAAGAGACCGGTGCTTGTCTGCAGAAATGCTCTCACACTACGGAGGATATTCTCCAGCCAAGATGTTCTCGATGCCAATCATGACACGGCATGACGTAGTACGTATTCCATTTTTTTCAGGAAACAAGGGCAACAAGTACAAAGTCCTCTGTACATCGAAGCAACTGTAAAGATACGTATGGGTTACCGATTGATTGAGGACTTATCTGATCTGATCTGTGCGCTGGCGACTGCGACCACGGTGGTGAAATGGGTTCGAATGTTCTTCTACGGCCCTTCGATATGGCCTGGAGGAAACCTTCTATGACCGGCCTAGATCCAAGATTACTGTACTAGAACGACCAACCTACCAGCCGCTCTCCTTCCGATTTGGATGGAGCTGGTTCTGATGATACAAAACGGTTTCTCTTAGTGTCTTGTCTGTGGAGAATCTGATAAAAAAAAATCTGCTCCGTACCGGGGGTATCGAACCGTACACCCGAAATGAAAACGGACTGCTATTCCTATTCAAGTCTACCATATGGAGTGAGTATGACGACTGGCTCCGGAGCACGGTGGGCTCTAAACGCTGTGTTCTGAGTACACACACTACTATGGATTAAACTATTCGGGTAAAAGACAGGCTGGGCTGGGAACACATGAGAAAGAGGGTCGACGGCAACGGACAGGTGAAGAGGCAAGAGCCGAACCAATGAATGCGTACAATGTACGACCCCAGAATCATCTACCGATGTTTCGTCCGAGAATCGACAGCTCAGAAAAAGCAAAAAAGAACTGGGACCATGGATTGGGAACCTGTCACAACCCCAACCGCTAACTATGTATACGATTCTTGGTTTACACGCTGGTTTCCGTGATGTAAGATCCGATCAGTCATGTCAATAAAATATCATTTCTGGCCCAAGAATTAGTTGCATACATACAAGAGCTGGATCATTTGGCCATATCAAGGCTAGCCGCAGGCCTCGATCGAGGATCCAGTTCTACGTTAGATACTCATGGAGTACAGACGGCTTCGAGGCCATGCAAGGATGATGCAAGATAGGAAGCAAGTCGCCAGAAACAGAACGAGCCGGCGCGAGAGCTATGACTTCGGACTCCTCCTACCCCTACTCCATCCGGAGGTCTACGGGAGGAGCTGGAGCTACGTACCAGCTATGGAGAGCTGCAGCTAACTTCTCAGACGACAGTTACAGGACCCATCTGGCCAGTTCAACTCGGCTCAATTGCTCCCGTTGTATCGTGATATTGAACATCACGGCTTGCAGTTTTAATTACTGTTTTTTTTTTTTTTTTTTTTTTTGGAATTCTAGCTGCATGCTGCAAGATTCCATCATTCTCCTGTCCACTTTCCGGCCACACTTCGGGCACCCTTGACGACCTTAACACTCGCGTTTGTGTGAGGTCTCTCTAAGCGGTGAAAAAAATAGGGAAGAAAAAAAAAAAAAAAAAAAAAAATAGAAAGGAAAAGAAAAGAAAAAGCAAATAAAAAAATTCTGCACCAGAAACAAACGGAATGAAAAATAGCTTCCATCCAATGCGAGCCAAAGTCCCGGAAACGCGCCGGGATCAGGGAGCGAACCGGGGGGTTATGTTGATATTCATTGTCGGTGGACAATCGCAGTCAATGGATCAATTCCTTCACCCCATTTGAAAAGAGGTCCATGAAAAATAGCCCAAGTGGACGACAATTCGAGCTCCGATAACCCGCGAGCCAATGGATTGACCCTTGACCGCTAATCTTCTCGTTGAGAGTCTCTCTTCCGGTACTCTGTACATACAGAACACTCTCCCCCGAGTCCGGAGTGAACGGAGGTGGCTCACTAAGCGGACGGACTAGTATCTCCAGTTTTACTTCGTGTCGGATCTGTCTGCTCTACTCCCTTTTTTGGTATGTTTTATGTCATTGTCACTCTAAAAGTGGCGCCGGCCGTCTGCCGTTGAATCGTTTGGACCCGTCCGGACCGTTTTTTTGGTGTAATTCTGGTACACACACAGTTCCATATACGCACACACACACACTGCGCTACACCCCTGTCGTCCCGGCATGGTTATTATTATTATTATTTTTTTTTTTTTGGACCCTCGGCCCTGGTTCTTTTCGGAATCTTCTCACGCATATCCCTCCGGAGATGAAAGGGAGTACTATGTACTATGTAGCAACAATGCCGTTTGTTGCGCTTGCACTGGCGCGCGCGCGCGCAAGGTTGTTCACTTGCACTAAGAGTACACAGTGGTGCCACAATGATCATATCAAGATATCCACTTGCTCGAAATAAATCTTTATCGGGCAGGAAAACACGAAAATGAATGATGAGACGGTGGAGAGCGCCGGCCTTGTTGTATCACTCCCTCCCCCTCCCCCCCCGTCTTGTCTATCAGAGACGGATCCTTATTTATTGTCGACGCTCGTCCTCTCCAAACTCTTTTTTTTTTTTTTTTTTTTTTTCCTCGTCTTCCATGATTCTTCTCTTGTTATCAATCAGGATCTTCGGCCTTCTCTCATTTTTCTAGACCGGTGATCGTCTGTTTTTCTTTTTTTGAGTTTGACTCGTGTCGTTGCTTGCATAGTCTCTGAACCTTCTTAAGGTCTTTTCGCCCTTCTCTTTTTGCTTTTTCTACCCATCCTGTTCAATTCTTCCAAGCAAAATGCCTTCTTCTGCCCCTTCAGTTAAACCCATTAAGCCGGTCAACAGCCACAAGCCGGAACAGCCCATCAGCTACGACATCAACATCCCCTATGTCGATGTCAACAAGGAACACAAGCTGCGCACTCGGTATCCCGAGTACCTCCCGACATGGGACAAGATGTGGTTTGACCCTCTGCGGCCATTCGAGTATGAAGACCCGGCTCTCCGCGCAGACGACTCCATGCCCAACCTGCTCAGCGGCACCGCCAGGGAGGAGCACATCCAGCCGAGAATCGGCACATTCCTGCACGGCGTGCAATTGAACGAGCTAAACGACACGCAGAAGGACGAGCTCGCACTGCTCGTTTCGAAGCGCAAGGTCGTCGCGCTCCCGAATCAGGATCTGATTGACGAGGGTCCGGCGCGTCAGGAGGAATTCATGCGGCATTTCGGAAAGCCTAACTACCAACCTGTTTCGGGGACGGTTCGCAACCACCCCGGTTTCCACATCATTCACCGTGATGGAAACAAGGAGGAGATTACGCGGTTCTTGGACCAGCGCACCACGACCACCCTGTGGCACCAGGATGTCAGCTACGAAATCCAGCCCCCGGGCTATGTCATGCTTGGATTGTTGGAAGGCCCCAATGTCGGCGGTGACACCGTCTTTGCCGGAACCGACCTGGCATACCAGTAAGTTTCCCTCTCCCCGTTTCTCGAAATCCGACCAATCTAACCAGTGCAGACGTCTCTCCCCCACATTCACTTCTTTCCTGGACAAGCTGGACGCAACGCACTCGTCAGCAAAGATGATCAACCACACCCGCCTGACCGGTGGTCTTGTCCGCAAGGACGCCGTCGACACCGTCCACCCGCTCGTCCGCGTGCACCCCGTGACCGGCGAGAAGTGTCTGTTCTTCAACGGCGAATTCATCACCAGGGTCGAGGGCATGAAGGTGCCCGAGCAGAAGTGGCTGCTTGATTTTCTCATGAACCACGTTGCCACTGGCCATGACTTCCAGGCTCGTGTGCGCTGGCAGCCAAAGACCATTGTTATCTTCGATAACCGGTCTACCATTCGTATGTCCTCTCTCCTTGTATCCTATCAGGAGCGCGAGCTAACAAAGACACAACAGACTCCGCTATCGTCGACTACCTCGACGACGACAACAGTGCCCAGCTCCGCCACATCTTCCGTCTCTGCGCGCTAGGCGAGAGGCCCATGCCCCCTCACCAGCCTGACGAGCACGACCACGACCACGACCACGACTCCCACGACTCCAACTCCGAGTTCAGCGAGTAATCGCCTCGCCTCTCTTCTTCCTTCTTCACCTCATCCTCTCACTCTTTATCCGCTTTGACCTGATCTCGAAAAGACGTACGACTTAATTTGCCATCGCCATCGCCATCGCCATCGCCTAATACCCATGTGCGCCTGTTTCTTGTCTTGCCTGCCTACGTTTCGATACCTATTGTCTTGTCTGGTCTGTTTCTGATAGACGGTTTTTTTTTTTTTTTTTTCTTTTTCGTGATTTCTTTCTTTTTGTTTTTGTTTGTTTGATTGCTGGTTTACTAGACTGGGTTGTTTTTGATGACTGATAGACTTTGCTTTTTGGCTGGGGATTCGGTTCCTCTTATGCTTGCTTGCTGGGTTTGGTTTTTCAGCGTGTTTCTGTTTCGGGTTTACTAATTGCTTTTTTCTTTTTGTGGTCTTAAAATGGGTGGTAATAATAATTGATTCTGCATATTGGATTTACTTCGTTTTGTCTTGACTGCTCTTATATTATTATTATTATTGTTGTTGTTGTTGTTCATACACGCATCTGTCAGCCCTGTAGGCCGAGTGGCGGCAGGTCCTGCGGGGCGGCCGGGTAAGCCGCTACATCATTGCCTTTATACACATATCCTAATATCTTATTCCGCATGTTGTATGTCCCGTGCTGCTGGTTGCGTACTGCTGTTCCCGTGGCCACGAAGGTCCATGGGCTTGTTGGATACTGTCTCGTTTCCTTCCCTACTTCTGCAAGCGTGTAACCTTGACCGCGCTACACTGCCGGTTGCTTTGTGTGTCTGTTGTTGTGACTCGGTATGTGTTTGGAAGAGTCTGAAAATGGTCCAGAAGGCCCGTCTCAAGCATGAAACGCATTGCCCTCGGTACCAGGTCTGGCCGTGTAAGGTAGGCCCTGTAATCCAGCTCCCGCCTTGACCCCTGTGTAAGATGGCGCATCCGGGGTCTTGCCTGGTTTGTACAGTGGAGGAGAACATGGTGTATGTCTTGAAGGCCGCGTCCGCAGGCGCATTCATTCGATTCCATAGCCTTAAAAGGTATCAAGATAGCTGGCCAGCGCAATCTTCCCAGTCTGCATTTGAATGAGGACTGATGTAGCGGCTCTCCGTAGGCCTTGGTATAGCTGCATTGGTGCTTTTGAGGGTTCTTTCCATAAACGACGGAGAGAGTTCCCGTGAGGGGAAGCAGACCATTCAGTCTTCCATGCATTTGCTGCTTCTATGCGGAGGGTTCTTCGAGTGCTAGCCATGAGGGTGGGCTCCTCTGCACCATTGGGTGCTGGGGAATTAGCAGCTTCTTTTTGCAAGAGCGTCAGCACATTCATTGCCGTAGATGCCTTCATGACCCGGGAGCCAATACAACCGTATATCCCAGCCGTGTTCCTGTAGTTGAGATGCAGTGCGTGTTATTTCACTCAGGATATATTGGCCAGAAGACCTTCCTGGAGCTGAGCACGCTTGTATCACCGCCTGGTTGTCTGTAAAGATGATTGCTGTATGCGTCTGATGGGTATGTTGCGATTCCAGTCCACCTGCGTTGCATATTTGGGTAAGTGCCATCTTTATGACTGCTCTTATATGAAAGTAGATCTCGTGTTGGAAACGCATGGGACATAAAATCATCTATGAATGAGCTATTCCAGCGTATTTGTATAGCAACGGATCTCGAAGACTAATACAGACTAGCTATTACATCTTTCATATTTATAGTAGGAAAACATAGATTATGGACTACCATCATCCAAAAGAACATCACACCTCTTCCATGAAAAGCAACCATAAAATAACTATCAACGCCCATTGTACAAACAAAAACTCAAGAAAACACATTCAAATGCAACAGTGTAAATGTACTTGGCTGACAACACAAAAACAGGTCTAGCCTTGTTCTTCCTCTCCTAAAGCAAGTTCCCCTAACTTCCAACGTCCAACTTTTCTCGGCCAACCGTTACCTGGGTAAATCACCGCAGGATGTTCTCGATACGCACCCGAAGTTCATGCGCGACTTCCATCTGCTCTGGCAGAATACCACCCTGCTGTAACAAAAGGAGCATCTCCAAAATTCGCTCCGCAACCAGGTCACTGCCAAACACAGCTCCGCCGAGACGGACAGTCTCGTGGAACCAATATTCAATCAGGTACAGCAGGTCCTTCGCAATGTATTTCCGGTTCGAGCCGTGGAAGGGTGCTTCGTCGGTGTAGTACATGGCCTCGAGGACGGTGTAGACGGTTTCGTGAGCGACGCCGAGGTCCAAGAAGAGATCTACCACCCATGTCGCGGGGCCAACGCCGCGCTGGTACTCGAGGGCGTAGCGCTCAAGCATGGGGAGGAGGATCGGAACGGGGAAGACAAACTCGGACATGCGGAGGCGGCTACCGAGACTGCGGACCTTTTCGATGACGGCTTCGTAGGGCAGGGGTTCGCCCCTTTCGACTGTTTCGTCGTGCAAGTCCTGCAAGAGGTGTTGCCACGTAGATTTGATATCGGCCGAGTTGCGGTGGTCCGCGAGGTGGAAAATTTGCAGGCAAACGTCGTAGTAGCTCGCAGGATCAGCGAATACATTGAACAGCTGTGCACGTCAGTAAAATTCACACATGAGGATCGCATGAGGAAAGTATTATACGTACAGTACTGATGTCCATGATTGGCCCGTCGACATCCGCGAGAACGTCAAGCTTCCGGTCCGGAGAAACCCGTCTGTCATCCTTCAGACGCTGCAGCAAATCATCCTGGATGTTCGCGACATCAATAAGGTTTGAGATCTCCTGTAGCACGCGTTGTCGCGACTGGCGGCCCACATCCGGTGTGAAAATCGAGGCATTCGCCCTGGCACGGCCAAGGTACTCGATCCGGCGACCCAGAGGCAATGCAAAGGCGCTCTGTGCAAGCTGCAACTGAACCTTAGCAGCCTCAAAGAACCGCTGGGACTGCGCATAGTATCTCCAGAGGAGATCCGCATGCGCGATGTCGTCTGCCGATTTGCGCTCCAGATAGGTAATGACGAATGAAGATGTGCTCTGGAGCAATCGGTCGCTCCATCCCTGTTCCAAATACCAATCATACAAGCTCGTCTGGAACACCTCGTCGGCCGAATCGGCAATGACGCCATACGCCTCGTTCTTGCGCTTGGCAATAACAGTGAACTGCCCGTCAATGACGCCGGGGTCATTAGCGGCGAGGCTGTCGACTGCAATGACGACCTTGAAGATCAAATCATAGCATTGCTTCCTGAAGTAGAAGTAGTCGCGGCGGGGATCCTTAGTTCGTTAGCATCCATCAGTTACGAGGATTAAAGAGCCTGAACATACCTCCTGAGGCCGTCCATCCACGATCCACGAGAACGCCATGTTGGCCTTGTCGGAGCGTGCCGCAACATTAAGCGCGAGTTGAATTGCACCTAGTCAACATGTTAGCATCGTAATAACACAACTGTGTGAGGAACACTTACCCGCAAAGAACTCGTTCTCAATGTAATTTTCCATAGCAGAAACGAGATAGTCCATGGGAAGACTATCCGAAACCTGTTGGAACAGATGAAGAGACTCGTTGAGCAAGTTGCGACCGAGTTCAGAGTTAGCATTGACCTCAGTCGCCCGCTTAAGCAACTCCTGCGCCTTGAAGATGACCACATCCTCGGGACTACAGAAGCTGCCACACCGCCGTCGCAGAGCATCAGCGATCGTCTCGACGTTGGAACCCTTAGCGATGTTGCGGTTCACAATTCCCTTGACTAGCTCCTTGGCAATGTCGTGGCCCTTGCTAGTGCTGAACAGTTCCTCAAACGTGAGCTTGAGGAATCGCTGCTTCGACTCGTCAGGCAAAGTGGCCACAATCTCATCCACCCGCTCATCGAAGAGCACCAAGACGAAGGAAATACCCTCGATGGTATGAGAGACAAGTTGGACAAGAGAGTGAAGTGCACGGTGCTCCGCTTGCAGAGCAGTTTCTTCTTGCTTGGTCGACACGCGAGCCAGGGCTTCCGGACCGCTCAGACCCTCAATGAAGCTCTTGTTGGTCTTGAAAAAGTCCTGCAGCGCTGTCAGGTCGCGCTGAATGGTCTGCAGTTTCGCGATAGCGACTGAAGGCGAGATGGTTTCCCCTCCGTTGGGGTCCTTGCCAGCTATGCCGATCTCTTTCTTCCATATCGACCGCAGCAAACGCGTCATGTACATGGCAATACCTGTGTGTCTGGGAGACGGCATGACAGCATCGATAGCAGGCGTCGAGTTATCAGCGACGGCATTCTCGTTCATTGTAGGCCGACCACCGTACTCGATGAAGACCTTGCGCGCAAACTCAAGAACGTCCGGGTCGTTGATTTGTGATAGCCGCGAGTCCGTGGAGATCTCCACGCCCTGGCCACATGCAACAGCCAATGCTGTTGCGAGCGTCTCGCTCCGGCCATATGTACGAATGAAGTTCTTGATCTCTCCCTCAAGTCCCTCGTCTCCGCCGTTATCAACACGACCACCACGTACTAATGCGGCGAACATGTCAACGAGTCGACGTCGACGAATGATGTGGATACCAGTGTTCGTCAAGATAGCAATTTCCGGTGCCGGGTTGTCGAACTGAATGGCAAGCTCATTGCCAAACCCTCCAGGCGAGGATGCTGCTGCGGCTGGTGGGAAGCAGAGGCCAATATCCTCTGCCCTACTGCCCAACGAAAGCCAGCTCGCGGTCTCACCGGCCTTTCCAGGGATGGGGTTATCCTGCGCACGAGCTACACGCCCGGAATCAGGGGAAGAGACGAACAAGGTGTCGGATTTCTGCGTGGAATCCTTGCAAGTAAAGCAGAAGAAGTAGCCAGGAGGGTAACGGACGGTAAAGCGAGTAGGATCCAAGGAGTGAATAGGAATTTTCGAAGCCAATGGGGCCTGGAACCGGGGCTGAGCTTGGAATGTAGGACTCAATGGAGCAGCGGAGGGGTTATCGAATGGTGGCGTCTTTACATGGTGCGCCTGCATGCTTGTCGGGGGGCTGGCACCATTCGGGGACGGCGCCCAGCTATAAGACCCGGTGGCACTCAGGTAGATCCGGTAACCGGTAGCGGTGGTCGCCATAAGGTGATATCTCGAAGCCTCCGCAGCCGGAATAGGGCTGATGGACACGATCCTGACCTTGGGGTTGAGGGATTCATTTGTCATAATAATATGTCCAATGTTGGCGTAGATATCCATGGCGGGTTTCGTGATGGCCAGGTTGACGGTTCCATCAGACTTCAGGTGGAAAACACGGATGGTCGAAAGGGACGAGAGAGTGTAGAGCAACCTTCTGTTGTCGTCGACTTCCATCTGCACCACGTGCTCAAAGGCCGTTTGGGTGAAGCTCAGATTCGGGGTGAAGGCTGCCAGTCGAGAGCTAGTGTGGTTGACTTTTGAGCACCGGCCCTGGAACCACTTCTCCTCCTGCTGATAGATGAGTTCGTACACATCGTTGTCCGATGAGCCACCAAAGAAGACCCGGCCAGTTGCGTCCGACGAAGCCAAAACGTCAATGTCCAAACCCCGAATGGTTGTCGACATGCCCGTTTGATACAAGGACACCTGCCGTGTACCTCCCGCGATCGTCTCGCAGCCCATACCCAACAAAATGACATCCGCGGTAGTCGAGACAATGAGTATATAGGCGATAGATGGCAGAAACACGCCCTCACGAGGTCGCGCCAGCTTGACGGCGTTGATACTATTAGGTTGATCCTCGAAGCCCACCAATTGCGGATTTGGGTGTGTGTAGTCCCACAAGTAAAGGGCGTTATCAATCGCAACCCACGCGTGGTTCAACTCTGCGAAAAGACCCATACTCGTCGATACCTGCGCGCGGTTATACTGATCGAAAATCTGGTCGGGGATATTGTACATCTTGACTTTCTGGAACGGCGCCCATGACGGTGCGACGGGGATATCGTAATCGGATGAAAGGCCCTCTAGCAACAGATAATAGTCAGTCGAGTTCTCTGGAATTCAACGTTGTAACTCACGCGACAAGTAGCTATCGAGGTCGGGATAGCGAGTTTCCTGAGCAAGCGTGTCATTGATCGTCCCTGCACCGCGCTCCTCTGTGCTCAATGTCTGATTCTTGGACTTTGAGGTTGCTGGAGGAAGCTTAGGGAGCGAAGCAGGCGAGGCTTGCTCTGGGACTGGAGCAACAGCAGAAGGCGTTGCGGGCCTGGGAGGAAAGAGCGGCGCATTGGAGGCATTCCCGGGGGCAGGAGTCTGGAAATAAGCTCCTGGGAGCGGCTTCTGCGGCGTGAGAGTCGGAGGAATATTCGGGTAAGACATGATGTTGGTTCGCAGCTCGCTGAAGAGCTCTTTTATAGGAGAGGAAGGGGAGGTGGTAGAGGGAGGGAGTCGCGCTCCCCGGCGTAAAGAGAGTCTCGTTTCGGCGCCGAAAGAAGGCAGACAATGAGATAAGAAATAACTTCAAGTCAAAACAAAAGAGGACCAGCCGGGGAGGAAATACAATGGAGAATAAAGAGCATTAGCCTGCATGAAAAGAGCAGAGGAGGAAGAGGCCAGCCAGCGGAGCCGTTGTCAAAGAGGAAAAGAGAGAGAGAAACAAAATCGTGCACGGGCCGGCAGAAGTTGGAGAGCTTTTGCTTGTCCGCCTTTGCGGTCAGCACTGGAGAGTACACCACTTCAACAGAACACAGTACAGAGACCACAATCTTTCTCAATTGATTGATATAAATTGGGACAATATGTTCAGACCTATTCGCCTGTCGTCGCGCCTGAGTGTCTTGCACCCAGTGCGCTGGAACTCGACTGCCAGCCCGGCCATGCCGCCCTTAATGGCTACATTCAGACAGGATCTCAAGGATGCCATGAGGGCGAAGAATACACCAAAGTATGTCTAGTCCATTTTTCATTGCAGAATCCATACTTATATCAACGGACGAGCTAACCAGTCCAGGCTGAACGTCCTGCGTGCTCTCATCTCCGAAGTCAACAACTCCGTCAAGACCCCCTCTCCCATCCAAACCGATCTACAACTCCTGTCCCTCATTCGGAAACGTGTCTCGGGGGCCCAGCAGGCAGCGAAACAGTTCGAAGAGGCTGGTCGGGCCGATCTGAAGGAGGGTGAGGATCTGGCCGTGTCGATCCTGGAACAGTACGCCGGTCACGTCAAGACAATGGGCGTGGATGAGATCAAGTCGATTGTCTCGCAGGAGCTTAACAAACTCAGGGAAGCTGGCGGCAAGGCCGATATTGGTTCGTTGCTGAAGGCCCTTTTTGCTCCTGGGGGAGCCTTGGACGGCAAGCCGGCGGAGAGATCCGAAGTCGCCAAAATCGCCAGAGAGGCCGTCGCTGCTGCATGAATATGAGTATGAAATACGATACGGGTTACGGGCATGACCACTGTATAATAGCAATGTACGTTACAACAAAAAATAGACTCTCCCATCACATTTATCTGGATTTTCAAAGACAATTGATACTCCGTTGCAAAAGAAACAAATTATTACTCGCGTGAGACTGCCATCATCCAGAATAGTGTACACTGAACAAAATTGCCAACGCCGTGATTACCCACCCAAAGCATAACCTTGCCTTTGGTCCTCGAATAACGTCGTGATAGATTTCCGTCGTGTCGGGTTGCACCAATCAAGCATACATCAACGCGATTCCACCCAGAGAAGTCGCTATGACACCAAACCACCACCACCGCTCAGGGCTGACCAAGCCCTCGCTCTCAATCAGGTTCTGTATGACGAATGAGCTGGAACTGTCACTCAAATCACGCTTGCTCTTGTGCGCCTGGGTGTGCAACGGGTTCAAGGTCGTCGTAGGCAATATCTCGGGTGTTTCGTAAGCAAGGTACATCGGATGCAAGGGACCACCGTCGTGGCCATGGAGGTCAAGGCGACGGACCTTGTGGTAGGGATCTGTCGAGACCGCGTACGACTTATATCTTTGTCAGTGGCAGATTGGGAGATTCGTTTCTGTCTCTGAAATACCTTGAAGAACTCTGTCTGGTTGTATCTGGTATAGGTGGCAATGTCCTTCTTGCACGGGTCTGACAGCAACTGACGGCCATCAACGGCGATGGGAGTCAAGACTAGGGATCCATTGACAAACAGAGTGAATGCGCCATGCTGCCATTGCATGATTCCTTTGGGGCAGGAAGGATCCTTCGCTATTCACGAGTCAACTTCCTGCTTATTGGGCTTGTTTGGAGATATATACTCACGATTGGCGAGAGCGCGATAGTAGGCCGCTTCATAGTAACCGTCCGACGTAAACGAATAAGAAACGCCCGGGTGCTTTGGTTCGATGAGTCGATCTTCAACGGGATTGAAGAAGCCCTGACCATTCTGTCAGATATCTCTATCCTCTGCAAAGAAAAATGCGCTACTTACCTCCCCTGTAAACACACTCTTTGACTTGGTGCTCCATGTTCCAACCAGCTCGGAGACACTAACGGCGCCAACAGCCGTAGCGAGAAGAAGTAGATAGCTAACGAAGCCAACCGCAACCATTATGGGAGGTTTTGAGGGTGTATATGCAGTTGACAGTTGACATTCAAGAGAAGAAGAGAGAAGAAAACAATTCACATATTCACTGTTTCCCCCTCGAAAGGGGGAGTTTCCCGTGTGGAATGGACTGGCGACTGCCCTTTCTTTGGCCCCTCCCTGCCATGCCAAGCCTTTTGTACAGAGTACTTTTATAGACCCCAACAAGGGGGTCTTCACTTGCAATGGCTTCCAAGGAAGAAAATCTCAAAGTCCTGATTGTCTATCGGCTGCCATTGCTCTTCGTCGCCAGGGCCGCCATATCGAGGTATAACCAACTTCTGGACTCATGTCACTATCCCTCAGGAGCCCAATTTACTGACCCCCGGTCATGAGCTCTTCGAGCGGTCTCCGATAGCAAGGTGGTGGTATATGGGTTAGGTCTCAACCAAATTCTCGACCACACCGTATTGACCGACGCCATACGCAAGTTTATCATCTGGGACCAGGACTGGAATCCCTCTCCTACATTCAATGTGCCCCCGTTTGACGATTTACCTACCTCCGCTGTGCGAGTTCCCCAACTACAACTACAACTACAACAACTACTACTACTGCTGCTGCTGCTGCTGCTGCTATTGCTGCCGATGGAGCTCACAGCAAGATCCGAACGAACGTCCGACCAGACGATCCGCTCAAGTATATTGGGTTGATGATGGGTGGTGTGGTGGAATTCCCAGAGGGATAAATTCCCGCCCAGATCCAAGATCGTTGGGGAATGGTCCTTACCGACCAGAAGGTGTCCTGCTTCGTGTCGCCTGCAGGCTCGCACAGCTTTCACTGGGGTCTCAGCTTGCGCGAAACGGACCCTCGACACTCTCCCAACACTTGGTCTGATGAAGTGGTTCAGGACCTGAAAGAAGAAGCCCCCCAGCGAGGCAGGAGCATGGCAGAGCCCTTTGCGATGATATTAAAGGAGCCACTATGTTCCTAATGCCCGGCATGGATAAGGAACCAATGCCTTGCGAACCTTTCCATGGGATCATTTACATCGGCGACAGCAACCACTGGCAGGTAACGGGGCCAATGTCGCGCTCATGGATGGCTATAGCCTGCACATCAAAGTGCGTACCTCCTCTACCCCCATTTCATTCCCCAAAACGACAGATCCTCCCTCTCCACGACCGTCCCCGTCTCCTCGACCTGATTCTAATGACAACCTCGGAAAGTCCGACAAAACATTAAGTATGATAGGGTTACGGGCGGAAACCTCCCGAGCAGGCCGACCCACAAATCGGAAGAGATGGCAGATACCCGCGATCCATGGGGCGACCCACCACAAGGCTAGTACAAGTACGGAGTACAGTATCCGCACAGGTAAAACGCCAGGCAGATTGATTGTGCTGTATAGACATGATACATACATACTTGTAAATCCAGTTGGCCTCGGGGGACCCCAATATCGCAAGTACCCGGCGTCGCTTTTAGGGTACAAATGGACTATTGGAAGAGCCTTAGAACTTCAATGGGCGAGATTGGCTTTGTGACTCTGTCTCTGACTCACAGTTGATCGGAGGATCTTTCCTCCCTTTCCTTTGTTCCTCTTTCCCATTTTCCGTCCTTCATTTCTGTTCAATCTCTCTGCTTGTCATCATCGGGGTCATTCGAGAATCGACATGTTTCGAGCCCAGCAGGTGACTAAGGCAGTCAACGCCCTGGCGACGCTTACTCACCATCCACGGATACTCATTACCATTCTGAGGAGACAAAGTGTTAGGGGAACCACCTCTGTTACGACACAGTCAATGTATTTCACAGATTTCCATTCTTTCCCGCTTTGGCTTATCTAAATACAATTACAGATCAACAACACATGTCGCTGCTCCAAGCCTTCGTGTGTCGCCTCCGCCGGCTGATGCATCGTATGTGGAATTCCTTCGTGAACTGCAGTTCGCGATTTGCTAATCCTTGATACGATCCAACAGGTTCATCGGTATGACAGGAGGCTAGATTTTCCATGAGATGATGCGGATACATAACGTGAAACATGTCTTTGGATACCCGGGTGGAACCATTCTCCCTGTCTTTGACGCTATCTACAGTTCCCAATATTTCGATTTTATTTTCCCCAAGCATGAACAGGGTGCAGGTCACATGGCAGAGGGATATGCAAGAGCTTCAGGCAAGCCAGGTGTTGTCCTTGTCACATCTGGACCCAGTGCCACAAATGCCATCACACCCATACAAAATGCTCTCTGTGATGGAGCCCCTCTGGTCGTTTTCTGCGGCCAAGTGGCCACCTCAGCCATTGGCAGTGATGCATTCCAGGAAGCCGACATATTGGGAATCTCCCGCGCCTGTACTAAATGGAATATCATGGTCAAACATACATCTGAATTACTCCAGAGAATTAACGAAGCCTTTGAAATTGCCATGAGTGGAAGACCAGTTCCTGTGCTCGTGGATCTACCCAGGAATATCACAGCTGGTGTGCTCTGGCAAGCAGTTCCAGCTGCGTCCGCCTTGCCCAGTCTACCTGAAATGCAGTAAAACATTCCGATCAAGTCCATTGCTCGTGTGGCGGACCTGATCAACAGGGCCAAGAGGCTGCCCATCTATGCCGGTCATGGTGTCTTGAGCTCCGAAGGGCCCAGACTCCTCAAGAACTCGCGGATAAGGCCTCGATCCCCGTCACCACCACCTTGCAAGGACTCGGCGCCTTTGACAAACTCGATAAGAAATCCCTGCGTATATTGGGAATGCATGGTTCAGCTTATGCCAACATGTCAATGCAAAAAGCCGATCTCATCATTGCCCTTGGTGCACGGTTTGATGATCGTGTGACCTTGAACATCCAGAAGTTCGCACCTGCTGCAAAGGCAATTGCGGCTAATGGCTGTGGTGGTATTGTGCATTTTGAAATCATGCCAAAGAATATTAACAAGGTTGTCCAAGCTACCGAGGCTGTGGTTGGTGATATCTCAGAAAATGCCACCCATCTCCTTCCCCTTGTAAAGAAGACGACCATGGTAGACCGGTATGAGTGGTTCAAGGAGATTAATTAGTGGAAGGCACGGTGGCCCCTCAACCTATATAAGTGTTCTGAAGAACGGTCGCACTTGATCAAGCCCCAATATCTTATTGAACAGCTCAGCAACCTCACTGCTGATCACAAGCATGAGACCATCATTGCCACGGGTGTTGGTCAGCACCAAATGTGGACAGCACAACAGTTCTGCTGACGCTACCCACGCACTATGATCATATCAGGCGGATTGGGTACTATGGGCTATGGTCTTCCTGCCGCAATTGGAGCCAAGGTGGCTCGGCCCGAGGCCCCCTGGTCATTGACATCGATGGATATGCATCCTTTGCAATGACTCTCACTGAGATGTCTACTGCCGCTCAATTCAACATTGGTGTGAAGGTCATTATTCTGAATAATGAAGAACAAGGTATGGTCACACAATGGCAGAATCTCTTCTATGAAGACCGCTATGCACACACCCACCAGCAGAACCCCAATTTTATGGAATTCGCCAAAGAAATGCGCATCCAGCATCGCCGCATCAGCAAGCCAGGGGAGGTTACTGATGCTTTGACATGGCTCATCAACACGGACGGACCAAGCCTGCTGGAGGTTGTCACCGACAAGAAGGTGCCTGTTTTTCCCATGGTCCCTGCCGGGTCGGGTCTCCGTGAGTTTATTGCGTTTGACGCCGAACAGGACAAGCAGAGGAGAGATCTAATGCGTCAAAGAACTTCTGGTCTTCATGGAGAGTAAATCTTCTGGTACTTTCTTTTTCCGAGAGCAAGAGCACATGTTATATATGAATGCTATCAATGAAATTCGCTGCTGTTAGTTGTACCGGAACCGGAGTTCAAACTTTCGAATGGGTGTTGAAACTCAGCCTCGTAGGGGCCGATGTGTACTCGGTAGCCAATACACCATGAAGCAGCATCTACTCTGTCACGCGGTTAACATTGGGGCTTCTACAAAGCTAATTTTATAATCAAGAACTACATGGCCAATCGAATCCACAGTAAGTGTCCTGTAAGGTTTCTCTGGTGACATGCGTAACTCAATATCTATTGGGAACGCACACGACACCGGTAAGCCGATCTGCGATAACAGAAATAGAATATCTTAGCCGTAGACAGATCCGCCACACCTTCGCTTCGACAACGTTGAACACTGGGATCCCTGTCAATCGGGACACGATGCGATGCAAGGTGGGAATGCTCTCCCAGTTGAGCCCACGGAAGTAGCCATTGACCAAGTCGATCGAGTTATTACATGGTTTTCCTTGTAAGATACGAACATTGCATATTCGGCTTCAGATGCCCCCTTGTGGGCTGCTCCAACTGCAGGCATGCATCGATAAATGAGTCCCTCGGGGAAGCTTCGATGCATCGAGGGCTTCTGTGCTGCACTCTCTTCGACGGGCTTCAGCCCCTTCAGACTAAGACCTATATCTTCCCTTCTGCACTCTGTGTAAGCTTCGGCCGGTCGTTGAATGTAGGTTTGGCACTGAGGTTGCGTACATTTCACTCAAATTTGGGGATACCCCTGTCTCCTGAAGTCGACTTCTTGTATATCGCGATTACAAATAACGACTCTTGTCCTTGTATAGAGGCATTCAACACTTCACAAAATGTACTATTACCCTCCCTCACTTCTACACATTCAACCGCCGCCAAACATGCCTTTCGCCATCGACATTCCCTCGGGCATAACCTTCCCATGACTACCTCGAAATCATCCAAGTCGCCCGCACCTGCAAATTAACCACCATATGAGACAGGATCCAGAGCGGTTCCTAGTAGTGCTGGTGCCCACACTCACAATCGACTACAGCTTGCTCATCCCAGCCTGCTTCACCAGGGATGTGGTCGAGGATCTTCCATTTCTGGAACATGCGGAGACTGGCCATTTCAGCCATCTGAACGTGTCTGATTAGTTCTATGTGCTCCTCCCAACTGGAGATCTTGTTGCTTATCACAGAGACGAGCTCTAGGACTTCGTCCCCTATGGTCTTGATCTGGGCTGTTCTATGGTCGAAGTAATCACGTGAGACCCCGTAAAAGCGGCGAGGTAATTCGGAGTCACTCACAGAATGATAATAATGCTACAGATATGCACTATCATATCTTTTTCTATTCCTTTTAGTCGCCCGTGATGACAGCCCCTCTGCAGGCGGCCAAGAAAGACCTCCGGAAGAAAATACGTGACGCACTGCGGCGAATCCCCGCGGACTCACTGTCTTCTCAATGTAAGACATTTACCCACCAATCGATTACGATGCTGAAGCTAATGCATCGACAGCCGGAGTCGCTACAAACAAGCTGTTCTCTCTGACAGAATACCAGAATGCTAAGAGAATCGGGGTCTACTTGTCCATGCCATCCGGCGAGCTGTCTACCACGAGCATCATCCAGGATGCTCTGACCAAGGGTAAAGAGGTCTTTATTCCTTACATCTACACGGTCGAGCCGCCGGCCATGCTGCCAAAGACCTCCGTGATGGACATGCTCACCCTCGAATCCGTGGAAGAGTTCGAGTCACTAGAAGCAGACAAATGGGGCATTCCATCGCTCAAGAATGATCAGGTCCACGGCAAGAAGAACTGCTTTGGCGGTACTGGCCTCACCTTTCCCGCTGAGGAACAGACTACGTCGCATGACACCCAGGGTCTGGATCTGATCGTCATGCCCGGCATGGCGTTCGACCAAGATTTCCGACGACTAGGTCACGGGAAAGGATATTATGATCACTTTTTGACCAGGTATTCGACTAAAGCGGCAGATGGCAAAACAGTAGCAGGAGCACCCAAAATGCCTTTTCTTGGTAAGAAAACCTCTTGCGCCGTAGTATGGAACAATTCGTATCAAAGAAAAACGAGCAAAAACAGACAGAAAACACCCTCTGACTCCACTTTATCACAGTTGCCCTCGCCCTCCAGGAACAAATGCTTCCCCCGTCCGAAGAAATCCCCGTTACACATCATGACTGGCCTATCGATGCCCTCGTTGTCGGTGATGGAAAGTTCTTCGTCCGCCAACGCTGATACGACCAGAAAAACGGAATCTTTTCGTGTAGATAGCTTCCCTTCCTATGTGTATATGATGTGCTTCGATCGTCCTCCTCCGACATAGACCGTAGAATCGATTATTAGGAACAAAAGGACATTATCGTATCGCAGCGAAACTCGGGTCTTCTTTTCTCTATTACATTCATTGGACGGCTTGGATCAGAGACACATTGTCACCCTTGAGCAAGATCTGGCCTGTAATCGCGTTGTTAGCATCCCTAACACCGCAGCTAATGAATAGCAAAAAGAATATCAACATACCCAATGGCCTCCGCTTCTCCTCCTCGGTCTTGGTAGCCAATCTCACTTCCACCGCATCGTCGATAACCAGGTTCATGAACTCGTCAAATCCCTATACGCGATTAGTTCACCTACTCCTCATCCAAAACAGCAAAACTAGGGACTTACTCGAATCTTGCCCTCTATCCGGAACGCCAATTGCTCATAAAGCCAGATGGAAACGGTCGACCGCTGCTGGAGGAGCTTGAAGATAAAATGAATCGGCGCGAGCAACGTCTTGCGAGCAGCTCCACCGCCTGCACGACCGGACATGATGGCTGATAGCTGAGAGAAAAAGCTGGGTACTAAAAGCGAAAAGAAAGGCGATATATCACAAGGAGCTAAAAACCGAAAAAAGACACGGTGCGCAAAGAGGACGTCGCGTTGGTTGTTGGACGGAAAAGATGGAAGAAAGACCGACGGCGGTGATGACGGACTCCCGTTGCGGCTCACCAACTTTTTTCCCTGTAGGTCAGCCGTCAAGCCAAACATCCCACCTGCATCTTTCCCGCAGAAGAATATTGTTTCTATACTACCCTTTTTCTTTTTTTTTTTTTTTATTCCTGCGCATTTTTCTGCCGTCTGAACTTGTTCACTACACATTTAATGAGTGTTCATGACCACCATCTATTGATAAGGTGCTGAAGAAGCCTGTCCATCTGAACCCCTCTTTCCCAAACAACCCCCCTGGTTCTCTTCTTATATCACCACTTATACCTACTTATTACCCTTCTCTATCCCAACGACTTCCCTTCCAGTCAGTGCACCATGGCCAGCAAGGAAGGGGCTGCAGGACAGGCTTTTGCGCCGGTTCTGGCGGCCGTCGCTACCATGCAAGGAAATGTTTCACGCTCCGAGAAAACGCATGCCCACGAGTTTCTTGAAAAGTTTCAGAAATCGGTTAGTCGTCCTCTTCTCCCGATATCCCTCTTCTCCAACATTCCCAGCATGGTATCTAACACCGGATCAAATACTAGATCGAAGCCTGGACCATTACCCACGAATTGTTACAATCTCCAGATGTTCCCGTGGAGGCAAAGCTATTCGGAGCAACCACACTGAAAGGAAAGGTGAAGCGGCCTTGACACAATCTTGCATTATATACCCTATGCGGGGGGTGGTTCCAACACTGACCGCAATAGATCGTATTCGATTTGGACCAGTTGCCCCAGGAGTCCGTCGTGGCGTTGCGAGATTCGGTTTTGAATTTGTTGGTGGCATATGCGGCGGGCCCTCGTCCCATACAGACGCAGCTATGCGTGTGTCTGGCAAGCCTTGCGATTCAGATGCTCGAGTGGAAGGACGTCCTCGTGACCGTTGGTTCAGCACTGGGATCGAGCGCCGGTGACTGCGTGCTGGAATTCTTGAAGATCCTTCCGGAAGAAGTGACGGAAGGTCGCAAAATCAACCTCTCTGTATGTTCGGTCAACTGCAATCAGACGAAACGACCTCCCCCACCCATCTGTGGAAGCCGGAGTGGCCAGCAGGATCAGTCTAATGTTTTGTCGTCACATAGGAAGAGGACCTGATCACGAGAACAAAGGAGTTGCTGGAAGATAACGCAGATCAGGTGATGCATCTGTTGATCCAGTACTCCCAGTCATCCCGTATGTGGCCGTCCCTCCTTTTCTGGCCGATAAACGACCCTGGACTAACAGTACATTGCTGTCGTTTCAGCCACCGCATCGACGAACCCGCGTCTCTTGGACTGTATAACCTCGTGGATGCGTGAAATCCCCGCAGCGAAGATTGTCGACTCGCCGTTGATGGACGTGATTATGAAGGCGCTGGATGATGATGCGTCGTTCGAAGCCGCTGTCGACAGTGTGTGTACGCTGTACCGTGATACTCGAGAAGTCGATGACTCGCTCCCCGTTATCCAAGCCCTATACCCCCGAATCATGGCCCTCCGGCCCAAGATCGTCGAGACCTCGGAGTCCGAAGATACGGATGCGTTCAAAGGTGTTACCCGGTTGTTTGCGGAGGCTGGTGAGGCCTGGGTTGTTCTTATCGCTCGCTTACCAAACGAGTTCCGAGGACTTGTGGAGGCTGTTCTGGAGTGCAGTGCCCGGGACTGGGAGCGCGACGCCATCTCGCTCACCTTCATTTTCTGGTACGAGTTGAAACAGTACGTCACCCTGGAGCGGTACAACGACGCACGACTCGCTTTTAGCGATATCTTCTCGCGACTGGTCGACATCATGGTTAAACACCTGGAATACCCACGACCTGAGGACGATGAATCAGACTTGTTTGGTGGTGATCGCGAGGCAGAGGAGAAATTCCGTCACTTCCGTCATGCAATGGGTGACGTGCTCAAGGATTGCTGCGCGGTTATTGGTGTCACGGAGTGCTTGTCCAAGTCCTACCAGTTGATTCAACAATGGGTGTCCAAGTACGCTTCGCAAGCTAGCAACGAGCATGTCCCGAACTGGCAAGAATTGGAGGCACCGCTGTTCAGCTTGAGAGCGATGGGCCGGGAGGTCGACCCTGAGGAGGACACCGTCCTGGCGCAGGTGATTCCGTTGATTGTGCAAATCCCGAATCAAGAAAAGGTACGGTTCCAGGCTATCATGGCTCTGGCTCGGTACACCGAATGGACGGCCCAGCATCCAGAGACGCTGGAGGCACAGCTGAACTACGTTATTTCGGGCTTCCAGCATAGCTCTCAAGAGGTCATCCAGGCTTCTGCGTTGGCGTTCAAATTCCTTGGAACGGACTGCCAGAAGCTCCTGGGCGGACATATTGCCCAACTCCATTCATTCTACGAGTCGGTTCTCGACAAGTTGAAGCCCAGTAGTCAGGAGGAAGTGACCGAGGGTGTGGCAGCTGTCGTTGCGGTGCAGCCACTCGACAAGATTTACGAGACCATGAAGATGTTCTGTGACCCTATCATGGCCCGCATCATGAACCTGGCCAACAATGCCAAGGATGAGGAGGGGCAGCGAGCCGTTGCCGGTATGTATTCTGCCCTCTTGAGGGAAGAAGGTACTGACTTTCACAGATCATCTGCAGTTGATTACCATCTTCGTCCAGGTCGTGCAGCCGTATGTTGGTCCGAATGTGGAGAACCCGGCCGTGAAGTACTGTGGCGAGATTTTGTCCATTATGACAACCATTGTCATGAACTTTACGACATCGACCCCCATTCTGGAGCGCGTTTGCCGTTGCTGGCGATACATGATCATCTCGTATCGAACGGCCATGATCCCGCTGTTGCCTACCCTGGCCCAGAGCATGGCCAGTGGGTTCGAGGCCTCGCGGGAGGGTTGCTTCCTGTGGGCCACGGATGCAGTTGTTCGTGAATTCTCGGAGGGGGCTGAGCTGGTGGACCATTCGACGAGTAGTGCCGTGTTCCAGTTTTATGAGCAGCAGGCCATTTCATTCCTGCGGATCCTGAATGACTTGCCACCAGAGCAACTACCAGATGGTAAGCATTATCCAGGTTCATATCATTGGTTAGGTTTCGCGTTAGCTGACGGAGGGGGGATGTTTCAGTGATCGAGGACTTTTTCCGCCTGTCGTCGGACGCCGTGCGGTACTATCCCAAGGAATGCATATCGTCATCTCTAGCGGTGCCCATCTTCTCCGCAGCCTTGAGTGCTCTTACACTACAGCAGGTTGAGCCGCTGATTGCTACATTACACTATTACCGTGACCTCTTTAGCTTTGCGTTCGATAAGCCGATCGTCTCACAATTCACTAGCCCCGAAGGCAAAGTCTACGTTAATCCGCCAGAGGTGCAAGAGGCCGTGAAGCAACTGATCGCCTCGCAAGGCCAACTGCTGGCGCAGCGGGTTCTGACGGGGATGATGTTCATCTTCCCTGGAGATTGCTTCGCGGATGCGTCGGGAGTGCTGATGACCATGTTCGAACTCATGCCGCAAGAAACCGGGGCCTGGTTGCAATCGACGCTCCAGATGCTTCCGGCGGGTACGATGAAGCCGGGCGAGGCGGAGCGGTTGCTGAAGGGGGTTGCAGACAAGGTACAATCGGGAGAGACACGAAAGATCCGAGTCCTGCTACAAGGTTAGTATTGCTTTTTTTTCTGATTTTTCCTTTGCCGCGCTTTGTGTCAGTACGTGGACTAATCCGAGGCGACGTATTAGATTTCACCAATTCGTACCGGCGACGAAATGTGGCACCTCGCGATGGCCTGGGGCGACTGGAGGCGACACGATTCCGGTTTAGTGGCTAGAGGAGGGGACATTGAACAAAGAAATCATCATGTATTAGTGCATACCAAGACGGGACAAGTCAGGAACAGCATTTCATCTGAAACAACGAAGCAGGAAGATCATGATCTCCCTCAGGCACACGGTGATAATCGTGAAGTGTGGCGGGTGTAGTGTGTGTGTTCTGTCATGTTGCCAGCTGGAAATATTCATTTTTAATAAGTGTGTGTACTCCGTATGAGGAAAGAAGACACGGACTCCACCGACTTGTACACTACTGTACAATCATACCAACCACCAGCCGCGTCACATGTAAACTACAGAGTACAGTCCTGTATACCGCTACTATGACTACCAGTTCCTTCCATCGGGCTACAAGAAACAAGCCGAATCCGGCAAGACGCGCGACCGCGAACAGATCCCAGCCATTCATCCATCGGGGCCGGCCGATATCGGGAGCTGCAGGGCTGATCGATTTTTGCTTTTGCCGTTATTTTTACCACTCTGCTCTTTATGGGTTAACATGTCCGATAGCCCGAGGGGGGATTAACAAGCCACCTCCAGATATTCTTTTGCCGGCTACAGAGTAATACTAGGTCATTTGGAGTAGTATAAACTAGACTACTTGTAGTATGGAGTATGGAGTATAGAGTCTGACGAAAGTTCTCGGTTCGCTTACGTATAGGATACGATACGAGGTGGAGTCATGGGACATACTCTGACTTGTGCTCCAGGACAGGCTCGTGCGAGAGTAGACTTTGTAGATACAGGTACAGAGTACAGTAGGTCTGTACATGCATGACAACGCAGGTGTACAAGTACAGAAGGGTGCGGAGAGAGAGGAGAAATTGCATGCTCATATGACAACAAGTGAGACATGCTCCAGTTAAGCATAAACATTATTATTCTTCCTAGAATAATAATACAAGTATGTCACCCGAATGGGAACGCACAGGACGCGGTGATTGGCCTCCCCGCAGAGATTACTTACTCCGAGTTAGAGGCGGGGAATTTCTTCGCGGTATTTTCGGTATACTACTACGGAATATGTACGGAGTAAAGGTGGATAGGTTTATACCATGTAGATTTTGGGACGGATGCCGTAGTTATTCATTACTACTCGGGAATATCTTTGTAGCGTAGTATACTCGGATATATATTCCTTAGATGAATGTCACAGATATATATTTCTGAAGTGTTGACATTCACTGTTTATTGAACACTAATAGCGTTGTTTCTTCTCAAGTACGTAGCCTGTAGCACTTCAATCTCTAAACCCTGTTCGGTTTACTATACGCGCTCTATAGGATATGGCATCCGAGAAG